TCTCAACTCGACGACTGTAAGCATAGACACAAGATCACAAATGATGAAAAACATCTTTAGATTCCTGGATGGACTCTTTAGATTCATGGATGGACCTATGTTCGTTATCCCGAGCCCCCGCGGAGACCACGGGAACCTCCATTGAGGTCGAGTCGCAAATGGATACAACCGGACACGCGAGGCAAGTATCTCCAGTCAGGCTATTTCCATGAATCTCGTCTTTACCCCAGTTCTCGGGCTTACACCGCGGTCTGGTGTCAGTACCGACGGGGTACTGCCAAATGTGGAAGAGGCAATACATACGACATCGTACGAGGTTGATGAGCTATTGGACCTGTGGAGGAAACTCGACAAGGAGTCTTTCCGGACCACGGCTGAAGAGTGAAGAACGATTGGTCCTGACGAGGAGCACCAAATAGATATCTATATGTTGCGTAAGAATTAATATCAGGTCTCGTATCTGAGACTTCCTTCGGGGTTTGGGACTGTATTCTACGTTGAGGTGGATGGATTAACCCCAGGGCAATGGAGATGGTGTCCATAATCCCTGACTCGCATGACGCAGAGGGTATCAAGCGATGCTATACTTGGACCCACTGCACACGAGTCCAAGAGAAATGGCTTCACTTCGCCAAAGCCCTCACTGGCACTGATTCCTCCGCCGAGAAATCCGAATACGCCTGCATCAATGCGTCCTTTATAGACCTTGGCAGGCGAGAGGCAAGTAATAGAATACGAGAGGTAGCCTCATCTCATACACCCGGGGTGACTCCATTCCATGGAATCGCGATATAGCTCCAAATCGAGAATTCCATGCCGCCAAGATAGCTCATACCCAACCTGAATGCAGGTGCGAGTGCGAGGCCTTGGCTCCCCTGGCGCCAAGCATATGCACAGCCTCGGAGTCTTTTATAGCAGTTCCTCGAACGGCTTGGCAGCAGATAATCAAGATGCCAAGTCCAATACGAGGGACGGAGGCATCGGCCTCTGCAGGCCAAGCGTCCTGTTTCATTGGCATGATTCCGCAGGTGAATGAGATGATGGGGTTGGAATGATGATACGAGGTTGCATCGTATTCTGTCTCGCTTGTCGTCGGCTTCATTTGGGGATGTCAGAATTAGCGACGGCAATGGCCTCGAGGAACGCGAAGTTATCTCCGTGATGAGGATGAACGCTTCGGTAGAGGAGGGCTTCCTGTGAGGAAGCAAAGGTATATAAACGCCTCGACACCCACCAGAATCGAGAGTATCAACAGCAACTGAGCAGACCAACAAGCAAGCAAGCAATCGGCAAGTATCACAGCTCCACCATCTTCAATATGCAGTTCATCGTCATCGTCAATGCCCTCATGATGGCCCTCTGCGGCCACTTCGCCTTGGCCTCTACCATCGGCCACCCCTCGCTGATGCCCCGCGAGGACGCCTTGAGCAACAACAACAACAACAACAGCACTGTTGCCACTCCCTACGGCAACGTCGTGAGCTCCGTCCTCGAAGACGGCAAGAAGAAGATGGAATTCTTCGGCGTCGACGGCACCCTCGAAGTGACCGCCATCGAGACCGCTGAAGGAAGTACGGCCCCTTTGTCTCCCCCCATCAGCCCGCACACACAAGCTAACGATCACAGCTGCCACCTTCTTCGATGCCGAAGGCAAGGAAGTTAACCTCGCGGACATGGATGAGGACGGCGAGAACCTGGAGAAGCGCGTGCCCAAGTGGAAGCTCGCGATCAGGTTCGCCAAGCTGATTGCCAAGTTTGGTAAGCGGGCCTGGTCCTACATTTTCTGCGTTGGTACTGCTCCGTTCTGGAAATGCGGCGATGAGGTGAGTTACTCTTTGCCTGGGGGGTAAAGAAAGTGGCTGATGAGATAGTTCCTTGACTGTGCTACTGGTGGCCGCGGTCCATGGAACTGCTATGAGGGAGCTATCTGTCTTGGATGGAACATTCACAACCACTGCAAGTAATTATGTGCATGTCAGACGCATATTATTCAGTATAACCTGAATGGTGGCTTGGATGTTAAGAAGGCAGAGTGATTATTTGGCGGGAGATGAGATGTGCGGGATGTGTTGTCTATTTCTGATTCTGGCTCTGTTGAGGTCAGATAGATGGTGAAGAGCCGCATAGAAGTTGAAGTTGATCATTATATTGCTATTCCGTTGTCTCTATGCTTCTTCTTGAACTCCCACAGTAGAACTATGTCAAGCGGGGCAATGTCGGGGGTCATTCCCCCGAGCCCATTAACCAGATAAATATCCTCTAAGCCCCGTCTCCGCATCAAATCTTTATATCCAGGGATTCAATACAACATGATCTCTGCTGGTGAACATAAGGTGCCTCCCCACTTCTAATCCAACAATCTAATACTAACTGCCCAGATCATAAACTCCCTCCAGTCCAACTGGATCTGGGCCCCAAACTGGATCGATTCCTCCCCGGCCAACACAGCCGGTAAAATCGGCAGATTCACCCACCACATATCTCTCTCTTCCCCTGCTACACGAGCGTTGGTTCATTGCTCAGCGGACACACGCTACAAACTCTATGTCAATGGCGTGCGGGCGGCAATTGGACCCGCCCGCGGCAGCCCTCTGATCTGGTACTATGACACGGTGGACATCGCGCCGTATCTGCGTGTGGGAGACAACGAGATTGTCTTTGTGGTGCTGAGGTATTTCAATGCGTGCAGGGGTGCGATGCCCTTTGAGCGGACGGCTTTTCCGGGGTTGACGGTTGCTGGGACGATTGAGACGGAGGCGGAGACTGTGGATGTAAAGTCCAGGGAAGGGTGGTTGGTGCAGGTGGATGAGAGTGTTCGGTTCCCAATGGGACTCGTTGACGATATGTTTTTGCATGTAGGTATCTTATCGTCTGCAGGAGAGAGGGAAAGGCTAATCCGGTAGATTAATGAGCGGATTACTCCGACTGTGCTGGAGGAGCTGGCTACGCCGATGGTGTACGGGATAAGGACTTTGAACGGCGATCTGTCTCCATGGCGTCTACGGCCTCGTCAGATTCCCATGCCTGAGGAGACTTCTGTGGATGTTGGTCTCATCCGAAAGTGCCAGAGTGGCAACCATATCGACGAGTGGACGGGGTTTTTGAGCGCAAAGCAGACACTGACACTCCCGGCTAATTCCTCGCATGTGCTTGAAATCCAGGCAGAGGTTCATTCGACTGCGTTCCTGCGATGGTCCTTCCGGGCTGCGCAGGCGTCTCGCATAACCCTCAAGATCACCTATTCGGAAGGATACGAGAAAGAACCGCGCTCCTACCCGTTCTTCCGGACAAAGGCTGATCGACTGGACGCGGTGGATGGGCGTCTCATTGGGCCGTATGACGAGGTGACCTTTGACTTACCGGCGGGAAAGACAGTCGTTTACGAGCCATTCTGGTTTCGCACGTTTAGACTGATCCGGCTTGAGATAACCAGTGGACCTGAAGCGGTTGAGCTCCTGTCGTTCAACTCTACCCAGGTCAATTATCCGATGGCAGTCAAGGCTAGCTGGAAGGAAGATGGCGACGAGTACAACGAGAGGATCTGGGATGTCTCCATCCGCACGATGCGCAACTGCATGTTCGACGGATACTCCGACTGTCCTTTCTACGAGCAACTCCAGTAAGCACCCCCTCCCCAAATAAAGCCTCAACTAACATCCCCAGGTACTCTGGCGACAGCCGCTCTGTCGGTCTATTCCACTACCTACTCTCCGGCGACGACCGCCTCATGCGCCAGGCCATCACCAACTTCGCCGCCTCCGTCACAGCAGAAGGCCTCACCCAGTCCCGATTCCCGTCGCATGTCCCGCAAATCATCGCCGGGTTCTCCCTCTACTGGATCCTCCAAGTCTGCGACCACCACCTCCACTTCGGCGACACAGCCTACGCCCGCTCCTTTCTCCCCCGCATCGACGGCGTTCTCGAGTTCTTCCACGTCCACATCGACACCCTCGGGCTCGTCAGCAACCTCCCAGACGACGTCTGGCAATACGTTGACTGGGTAACAACCTGGGGAGCAACAGACAACCACCCAGATAAGGGCGTCCCCACCTCCGGCCGCCAGTCAAACAGACACACCTTCTTCAGCCTCCTCTACGCCTACGTCCTCAACCAAGCCGCGCAGCTTCTCCACGATGTAGGCCGACCCGGTCACGCAGACGAGTACACCGCGCGCGCGGCGTCTATCCTCGCCGCCGTCCGCAAGCACTGCTACGACGGGCGTTTCTTCACCGATTCCACAGCCGATATTGCCGATACGGATGCCTATTCGCAGCATTGCCAAGTGTTCGCTGTGTTATCCGGTGCGGTGGCGGAGGGGGATCGCGCGCGTCTGCTGACGGAGAGTTTTGCGGAGGCCGGCTTTGCGAAGTGCTCGTATGTGATGCAGTTTTATGCGCTGCGGGCGTTCTCGCTGGCGGGTGATGAGGCGTATGAGGCGTATTGGGGGAGGGTGTGGGATCCGTGGCGGCGGATGCTCGAGTGTAATTTGACGACGTGGGAGGAGGATGATGTGCGGCAGCGCTCGGATTGTCATGCTTGGGGGAGTGTGCCGATTTACGAGTATTGTACGGAGCTGGCAGGGGTGAGGATTGTGGCGCCCGGGGCGAGGAGGGTGCTGTTCAAGCCGCGGTTGAGGTTGAGTCGGGGCATCTCGGCGAGGGTGGCGGTTGGGAGGGACAATGTCGCGACTGTGAGGTGGGAGACGGTCGACGGTGAGAAGAGGGTGGAGCTGAGGTTTGAGAGAGCTGTCGATGTTGTTTCTCAGATGTCGGGGGAGAAGCCGATTGAGCATGGAGTGGTGCAGTCTCTGTTATTCACTTGGAAAGACCATTAGGGTACTTACATGTTGCTCAGGAATTAAGAGGATAATATCACTGTATTGATGCAATCTAAAAATTTCACTGTCTAATCGGCATCAGGTATGAGACTGACTATTAGTCTAATTTTAAGCGTTTGATCAGCAATTCAGCGTGAATGCTCGCCACTCCTCAAAAGTTCACCTATAGATGAACGGCCACAACCTTGGCAGGCTCGATGAGCTTACCCAGGATGGGTGAAAACTGTCCCCCACTGGTTGAGACATACAACACCGAACCATCTTTACTGCCAGCAACCGCAGTCGATCCACCAACAGCAATCGTAAACTGATTCCCAGCCACCAACCTGACTCTCCCCTTCGGATCAACCTTCACCAGTCCATTATCCGGGTTCGTCGTGATGTACGCCGTTCCATCTCTCTCAAGCGTGAAATCATCTGGAGTAATCCCACTAGTAACGATCTCAACCGGGCCCGTGGCGGCGGCCACGCTATCCACCGGAACCCTACAGAACAACATCTGCGTGGTACTCGTGTAATAGACATACTTCCCGCGCACAGCAACACCATTCACACCGACAGCATATGGCTGGCCCGCAGCAGGAAGCATCGTGGGATCAGACAGTGCCTGCGAGTATAGGCCCGTGCTCATATCCAGACGCCAGATGACACCTTTGCCGGAGTCTGTGATGAGAAGCAGGTTCTGCCCGAACCGCGTAATGCCATTCAGCGTCTCGGCGTCGGGGATTCGGGCCAGAATACTCGCTGAAGGTGCGGTACCCGAGGCATCAATTCTCCAGATCACGAATGAACCGGGTGTGCTTGTGACGGTGGAGATGGAGAAATTGCCTGCGACTACTGCGTAGACGTCTCGATCAATTTCGGTGATGCCTAGCAGACTGGTGGCATTGGGAAATGTGTAGAACAAGGAACCAGCTTCCGCGGTGTTGGTGTTGGATGGGTTGATCAGCCATAGTTCGGGTACGTCGAGGCGCGTGGCGAGGATGTTCCCGTTAGGGCGGACTGCAAGGTTTTCGAGCCATGTGCCGTTGCGAGTGAACTGGAAGACTGTCGATGTTGACGAAGTGTTGGTCGTTGGAAGCGTAGGCAATGCCAGTGCTGGACTGATCAACGTGGTAATTAGGGCATAGAGCCAAAGGATATTTGGATGGGAATACATAGTGAATCAAATGTGGGTACGCTCTTTATGTAGAGTAATAGGAAGCACGAGGGAGGGTTCTGGCATGGATGAATGTCTATTCCTGCAGCTATTTATACTTGACTTCTGCCAGCCAGATTACAAATTTGATAAAGGATTTACGGAACTCGCAGGGATTGTTTTCGACCACTTTCCTCCGATTCGAGGTTTTTTGCCTTGCTTGCTTCCAGGTTCCGCTTTCCTGTCTATAGGTTCTAGTACGAGATAATTATTGGCTCGGATTGGTTGACAACTTCTGCCTCATGCAATATCAGTATGGCATGTCGGAGCAAAACAAGGCTAAAGCTGACATATATCTTTCCATATTCTTTGTCAGGATGAATTGCACGTGCCGAATGTATACAGATGAGAGAGATTACCAATCAGATCTGTTGGCCTGAATCATTTGTTCTTCCATAATCATTGCTAGCTTATTATGTTATCAGCGCTAATTTCTCACTACTTCGATGGTAGTAACACTGTTGCAGGAAGGGCGTAGCTTGGCCATTACCTAACGCACCACAGAGTACCGAGCTAACTAGACTAGGTTCCGTCAGCAACCAGTAGTCTGGAGTCCGAACTTACCAGCCTAGGCTAAGAGACCACTCTTTCCCCGAAGGATGGCACCTCGACATGGGTGTCGCCTAGCAGCCGAACCCGCGAATCAGCGCACTCTCTCCAGCCGCGAAACTAATGAGTAGCTAGTTGCTCCAACCCTCCCAGAGATTTCTTGTTCCGCAATATAAAGACAGCAAGAATACGCCGGTCCTCCTAAAACGCGTTGGTCCGTGCAAAGTAGAGCTACTAGTGATGTAGAATGAGCTCCTTGCTTTGCCCCTGTCCTTGCCTGCAATATTGGATGATGCTGGGTGTTGTGCTTGAGGCAATGGTGATCAATGTTCTGCATCGACTCGCTTACCATTAGCGACGGGCTTGCACAACAACTGATACTGTAATGGTGACCACTTCGCGAAGACGAATCACGTCTCTCCTGCCTTCATTCCTGCTTTTGTGGCTGCATGCTGCTGCCTATTAGTTTGATTGTATTTTCTCACGAGTCCAACGGTGTCGAAAATGGAAAGCCACTTTGGTGGGTATCTTGTTTATGAGGGTGCTCTTCAGCTGAACAACAAGTCTGGCCAATTATGCCCCTGTGCATATAACGATAGAATCCATCTGATCAACAAATAACTGTTTCGTGGAGTTTTTACACCAACTGTCAATGATAGGGCAAAGCTACATATAACAGGGGCAAGGTCTGTGGTGTAACTGGGCGGGGCAAGGATTACGCATTTAGAAAAGCTTTTGAGGCCTTAGGATTCCCTTCCTAGAACGGTTTAAAGGGGTGAACACCGCTGCCTTAAGTTGATGCCACGGTATGCCAGGGCCCAAGAGCAGGGATTTCCATAGGCAGCAGACCTAGAGTGATACTCATTTTCAGATACTTGGGTACTTGCGGGAGTAACCCGTGGACATCCCTCGGAAGTTTTAACCAAGCGAGAAACGAATTCGCTTTTATTTATTTTCTAATGCTCTGGTTCTAGCAAAATAGCCAAGGCTCCTTCGGCTTTCCCATTGCACACTGAGCGATGAGATCTAGCGCCATCTGTTGACCCGTTCTATCTCATATTGTCGCTCCGAATAGTCGGTCCAATCGTTTCCAGATGGACAAGGCAAATCCGAAATCTTGCGTGCAAAAAAAGATACCCCCTGACCCACGTCGGGGAAATCCGCCACTCCTTCAAAGCTAGCGAAGTTTTTATCCTTGAAGTTGATAGTGCCGTTGCTTGCCTGGAAGTGGATCATGCCTTCGCCCATCTCGCGGCATTTGAGCTTGAGATGATATTTGCGAGGCTGATCTTGGTCTGCCTTATACTTCTTTGGCCTCGTCACAGATTTAGAAGCCGGTGGCTTTCTCTTAGCGCCTAGCTTGACGTTCTCCTTGGCTGGAGCACTATCCTCGTCATCAGTTTCCTCTTCAGATCCCTCTTCATCCACAGAATCGTTCCAGTCGGATTCATCGTCGCGATTGGCTTGAGCGCAGTATTCATCCAGGGCAAACTTCTCGGAACAGATAATCATAACCCCTTCAAGGACCCCGAAATCAAAGTCGGCTTTGAAAACACCAGGTGTATCGGTCCGATGGATGTCAAGGCTGAGATCATCTGCCATGTCTGGGTACTCCCTCTCAATAGTCTCACAGTCAACAATGTAGGTACCGACGGGGGTGACATCCTCTGTCTGCTGGCTACGGCTGTTGAGATAGTCCATTTGTACTTTTTCTCGCTCATTCTCCCGCTCGTCTTCCTCGTCCTGTAATCGCCTTGCCTCCTCGACAGGGTACTGATTGGCTGCCTTTTCCACGGATGCTCTATCCCAACCCATGAGAATGACCTGAGTCTTCGGTCCAAAGGCTCTCATATGGTGTAGACCAGTGATCTTGCTGGCAGCTTCAATCATCTGCCCGGAACGATATTGGCTGTATCGATCAAAGGGTATGCCAACGACAGTGGTCGTTTTTGTACGATCAGGTTGATCAGCAGATAAGAAATACTTTTGCATGACCCAGTCAGGGTCGGAAGAGAGTGGCTCGGGGGTACGTTCGCTGATCCATTCTGCATGCATCTGCTTTTGCAGCTTCATAATGTGGTCAGGGACCTGATCGCACTTCCCAGCTTGGAGGGCTGCCTTCATTAATGCAGTTCCGTTGCCAGTGAATTCACGTTCTTCGAACTGCACCCCATAGTGTTTCAACTGAGCACGGACGAAGTCGGGGTTATCTCCTAATGCCTTCTGCCCTTCGCGTGAGAGCTTTGGCAAAAACATGCTCCGGAGTTGAGAACCTTCGATTCGATCCATATGACCAGGGTCTGCCATGAAGCGGCCAAAGGCTGAGACGAACCCATCGCGACGAATATCATTGTAGTGGTACGCAGACATTGTGATCAGCAAGCTGAGCTCAGAGGAGGGCGAGAAAAACAGCGGGATCTGGAAGCGACAGACCACTAGAAGGAGAGGAGAGAATGCAGATGAGTGTATTGACTAAGAGTGGTCTCCCAGAAAGCAAACCCTATCTACCAGGGCGGTGGGCGCCGACTCCTCAGCATCCACATCACCATGACTATTAGATGTCGTGCACTCGACTTAGTCGAGTTCTACGGTTCTACCACCTCCAGGCAGGCGAATGCGCCTGGCACACGCGATTTCTTTTCGGGCCTGACAATCTAGGCATTAATCTGTAATGAGACGCAAATTCCTGTATTTACTTCTCGATCAATCTACATCTCTCTGCTCTGATACTGAATATACCGTTTTCGCTCGCTTCATTCCGTTCTTTCCGGCCACAGTTTCTCCTACCGTCGACCGAATTCCGCTGGTTCTTCCACTCGGTCTGCCAGTACCGACCTGGCGTGCCAATGTGCAACCAACCCGCTCCACTAGGTACCTACTCTACCTATCTACATGAAGCCACTGAAGGATTGCATTTAGAAGTGGTCAAGCTGCTTCTGGCCGAGCGGAGGACTAATGTCAATACCGAAAAGAAAGTCGGACCAGTGGCAGTCTGCTTAGCCATAACTACCAATGCAAGGATACATTTATGGCACTATGAAAGCAGAAGAAAGGCTAAATAGTACGCCACTGAGCTAAATACAATTCCTCGGTCTCTGACGTGCATTACTTGATGAGTTTGGCAAAGTCAGCACTCCCGCTGAGTGATTTTTCCAGCGAAGTCAGCGGCTGGGAAACAAGCTATATATCCACATATCAGCATAATCCCATAAAAGGAAGGACCAAGAACATACCTCATGGGCTTGTTCAATCCCTTCACCTTGAAAGTATCCATACTCAGTCGCGTATTGGAACACCTGCACGACATCCTCCTGCAAGAAGTCTGGCCAGCCTCTGGCTGCAATGCTATCCTTGAAGGTCTTTTGATCGATAGCCTGAAAATCCACATTCAATCCAAGACTTTTCATCGAATTGATTATCTCCTCGAGAGTATAATACCTCTCGGCAATGTTAAATTGACGATTTAAAGATCTATCCGGCCTCAGGAGGATCGCCTTGACGAGTCCACCAAGGTCAGCGGAGGGATCAAGGAGTGGCATTGCGGCCTTGAGATGAACTGGCTCTGGAAAGACAAGTTTATAGGAGGGAGGGTCGCTTGATACAGGGACCAGAGACTCTAAGAGAAAGGAATTGTAGACGCCGAGACGGACGATGGTGTGTGGGATCGCGAGGGAACGGATGTACTCGTCGACGCGGGCTTTGCCGTCAAAGTGGACCGCTGCAGTGAGTTTTCCGTCCGTAACTGTGATACCTGTCAGACTATGCTTTGAGACATGGCCAGATGATAGTACTCTGTGAAATGTTCGGGAGGCTACTCCAGATCAGGTGCTTGACTCCCATTTCCTGTATCTGTCAGATGACTCTCTTCCTCAAAGATGGCAGGCTATATAAGCCTACCTTGGCAATATCGGCAACATTCTTTCCCTGTCTGGTTTCGGCCAGATACTCCATCTTTTGCCAGAAATCGGTCACTGCAAATACCCCGTGGGCATCTTTCATGGCCATACGCAGGGATTCTTTGGCTTCCATATCAGCCTGACAACTGAGAGTCTCCACAAAGTCAGGGTTTATGGTAAGAGGCTCCGACCTTGATGACCTCTGCACCCTGTTCAGCAAGAGCCGTGGCAGCTGGTTTGGCTGGGTCTCTGCTAATAGCCCGGACTCGAAATTGTTTTGCTGCGATCGAGTCATCCAAAATAGCCTTGGCCACGGAACCACCTTGAATACCCGTGGCTCCGAAGACCACGAAGACCTTTCTATCGAAATCCATTGTGATGAACTGTAGGGTTGATGCCTTGCTGTGCAGTAGATGATCCGGTTACAGCATGGGAAGGGGGTTGACTACCTTTATAAGGACATCTTACCTGGGAACCATGAAAAGCGGCTTGACCATTCATCCGCCTGTGCTTGATCAAGGCACAATTGAATGCCCCGACTTCCCTTCATCATGAATTAAAGGCTGGCGTACAGAGTACAATTCTTAAAGCCAATTGGTTGGCCCGCAATACCTATCTAAAAGGGTTTAGTGCTGATCTCCAGTCGTTATAAATCATAAACGTATCCGACTCGCGCTCTTATTTCTTTCGCACTCTCTCACGACTGTGGTGATTAGTTTCTTTCATATCCCATGTAGACGGACTAATTTATCTATCCGAGTCCACACGATGCAATAAGTCTCACGTTGACATCGATATATTTCCCAAAATGGTCCGCCATGGAAGGCTCTCCAACGGCTGTCGGACGTGTAGGACGCGCAAAATCAAGGTCCTTTTCCCGATATTTTAAGCTAGAACTATATCTTACCTTTGTTAGTGCGATCAAGTACGCCCAGCTTGTGGCCAATGTCTCAAAGCTGGATGGAAATGTCCGCAGTACGGAGACGCGATTGACCGCATGTTCCAGTACTACGATCTAAGGAACTACAGCTGTATGGTTTCGAGAGGTCCTGGATCAAACGCCGAGAAAAGGCGCAGCAGAGACCCTACAGCCCTTGTAGAGCCACGAGAATGTCGAGTCAATCTCCCCCGAGAGCTCATTCATTCCATCAATGATCGTGCCATCGACTTCTTTCTCGCAACTCACGTATCCCATGATTGTGGCAGTGTCCGAGGTCACTACGGGTATCTTTCTGTGCTCAGCGACGAGGTCAGAAATAGGAAACAACTCTCCGCGAGCTTGAGCGCTGTCGCGCTAGCAGCGTACGCGTACAGCTTCCAACATCCAACTCTGCTTGAGGAGTCCAGATGCCAATACGGGCGTGCTCTTCACCTCATCAACGCAGCACTGTCCTCACAAGAGGAAATGGCACATGACAGCACAATCATCTCAATACTACTGCTCAGCACGTTTGAGACGATTACCTCGGGCAGTCCACAGTCGCTTTCACAATGCGATGCACATATCAGAGGCGCAATGACGATCATCCACTTGCGAGGCCATCGCATGCTCGAGTCCCGCCATGGGCAGCAGCTGTTCCTACATATCTGCTGGTGTCTCTCCGTGAATTGCATTTTGCACTCCTACCCAGTTCCGACAGAACTCATCGCAATCCGTCAATCTATGGGAAGGTATTTGGATACCAGTGACCCTGCGTGGAAATTGTTCGACTTGGAATGCAAAGTTGCCAGATTTCGTGCCGATGTTAAGCACAACCTCCTTCATGGTCGCCATTTACTGAACGTTGCTCTGGACATCGATCGCGAGTTCATCTTGCTCGCCGGCGACTTGCCAGTTCAATGGCATTTCCGAACGATAGCTCTGGATAAGCCATCCAAGCTGGTCTTTGGGTCTTCCTACCACGTATATCCTGATGTCTGGGTAGCCGCTATTTGGAACAAACTGCGTACTTGCCGGTTACTTTTACACAAGGAAATCTGCGCCCAACTAGGTGATATTTTGGCAACATCTCCCGAACAGTATTCTCCATCGGATGCTTCCTGCCATCAATCTTCCTTCGAAGCCATGCAAACCTTGGCGCTTCAGATACTAGCTACGGTGCCTCAGTTCTGTGGCCTTGTATCTAGGGCTTCGGGCGATCTGCTGCAGACAGAGAAGGATATATTCCGGGACCCATCCGCCAGTGGCATTCCGACGGTTGCTGGGCTCTACTTTTTGTTCTGGCCCTTGCTGATGGCCGGGTGCGTGTTGGAATCAGACGTTCAGCGGAAATGGATCGTAGATCGCAGTCGGGATATTGGAAGGATGACTGGGATTCAGCAAGCATTTTCCTTGGCGGATGTTGTAGAGAGCCATAACTTCCTGGACAGGAAGGCCATAGTGCCAGGGATGGAAGGATAACGATGACACAGAAGACAAGCGAGACAAAGAACGATTGAAACCTACTTTGAGGATATGATGTATTCCTCTCCCAATCAGGATGTGAATGCGCCAAAATCTAGGGAGAAACTTGGTTTGGTATTGCTTTTTCAAGTAAGCACTATCCAAGACCGAAGACTATAACCTGGCATGAACTTGCTGCAAGATATAGAAATGGAATAGACGAACCCGGGCAGAAAAATTAGATCAGGCCCAGAGCGGTTTCAGCGCAATGACTCCCCAGTGGGTGCTCTATATCTGGGGTCGCCTGGCTCATCAGCTTGCTTTACCGATCGCCCAAACGATTAGGACCAGATTTGTCTAAAATTTATTTGATTTCTAATGGTTTAATTTTCATGGTTTGATTTGACTTGTGGTAATGCTCGAAAGAATGAGATTTCGCATTTTGCGAGGGTGCTTCATGGTAAGTATATACTTTGGGCCGTACCTAGAAGTAGTCCTCTGAAAAAGATAGTACCTTAGTACGAAACTCTACGAGAAATACGGGCCAATATGAACACATACGACTCATCCAAACCACGTTGCCTGCCAAGCGGATATTCCTCGTCGCAATGTTCCGACCAAAGCAAGGATTGTCAAGATTTGTACGATCCCCTCTCTGGACTTTCCAAGGACCCTTAGTGCCCTAAATCCAGCAAACCTAACCAAGACGAGCTTCACTTCAATAACCACTGGAAGACGCGCGCTTCGCACGCTTCCGACAAATACGATGAGTTAGACAATATTGGTGAGTCATCGAATCCGCTCCCCACGCGGTTGACTACGTCACGTGGGGGCTTGAAAAAAGTGGTTCAATTTTAGAATTATTCTCTGATTCAAATTTAATCTAGTACTCACTAAAGATCCAGAATCACGGCAAGATGACTACAGTCACGCAGACGCAGCCAACTACGGCAGTTGAACTCTCGACCTGGGGACATAACATAGAAGAAAGACAGCGGAACCCCAACTTCTCCGCCCCAGAACTAGAGGCAGATGAAGTGATGCGGCAATCACTGATTGCGGACTCCCAAGTCCCTGACGGAGGCTACGGCTGGATCCTCATCTGCGCATGTGCTGTCGTGACATGGTGGTTCGTGGGCGCTTCATACACATGGGGTGTGATGCAGGCTGCGCTAGTGGAGAAGAAGGGCCATTCGTCCTCGACATTGGCCTTTGTTGGATCGCTCTGTCCTGCCTGCATCTCTCTCCTCGCAGTCCCCAATGCAAGGGTGATCCGACTCATCGGATCCCGAGCAACCGCCCTCCTAGGCATTTTCCTCCTCGGCTCGGGTAGTATCTTGAGCGGATTCGTGACGGACAGCGTTGCAGGCCTGTTCATGACATGGGGCTTTGTGGGTGGACTTGGGACTAGTTTGTGCTTTATGGTTGGTTCTCTTACCTTACACCGAGCTGAGCAACACATATACTCAACTTGACAAAACCAGGTTGTCTCTGTAACCCCAGCACAATACTTCAAAGCCAAGCGCGGTATCGCAAATGGCATCGTCTACGCCGGCGGTGGGCTCGGCGGAACAGTGATCAGCTTCATCCTGGACGCCCTCCTCCAAAGTGTCGGGATAGCATGGACCTTCCGGGTCCTCGGCTTCATGATCATGAGCACAGGGCTGCCAGCTGCCTGGCTAATCAAAGAACGTGCACCGATCAAGCCAGCGAAGATGGTCGAATGGAGTCTCTTCAAAGACGTACGCTTCGCCGTTCTCTTTGCGACCGGCGCTATCGGTACATTCCCTCTCTTCGTGCCGGCTTTCTTTTTGCCGCTGTATACCAACTCTCTTGGCCTACCGTCTAGTGCTGGTGCAGGTCTTGTAGCAGCGTTCAATTTTTGTTCTGCCATTGGACGGCTTTCGTGTGGGTTTGCGTGTGATCGACTGGGATCGCTGAATACGCTTTTCTTGTCGCTATTGCTTAGTGCGCTGAGCATTTTTGTGCTGTGGCCTGTGTCCAGTTCGATTGGGCCCCTCGTTGCCTTTGTGGTTATCAATGGCTCCGCGAATGGGGGCTTCTTTTCCACTATGCCAACTGTCGTAGGCAATGTCTTTGGTTCGGCAAGGATGCCTGTTGCTGTAGGTATGATTGTTAGCGGGTGGCTCGGTGGGTATCTGCTCGGTGCCCCGATTGCCGGTTATATTCTGAATGCCTCGGGTGGTCAAGGGGGTGGGATTGGTGCTTATCGCCCGGCTATCTTTTATGCCGGTTCTATGGCTACGGCTGCGACGGTGTTGGCGGCGGTCGTGCGGATGAAGGTTGATCGGAGGATTAAGAAGACGGTTTGACGGATACATTTACCAGTGTAGAAGGCTAGGTGCGTCACAAACATAATTAGAGGATCTGTCTCCACTCGGCTGCAGTGCCTGGGCCGTACACTCTTGGAGTCTTCCTTGATCGGAGAGCTAGATCATCTCGCTCTGTTCTGGCTGGGTCGATGCTGCAATAGGCAGACTAGATGCCTGTAGCTGCAGTGTAGACGGGTCGCATGGATGATACCTTAGAGATAGCCGAGATAACCGCGGAAATTGTGGTATGATTTCCCATATCTCGGGCCCGCAGTTCACACATTGAAAGGCTCGTAGCCGTTGGAGCGGTAGATCGCCTGAAAAGAGAGGTCGCTTCAGCCCGAGCAGCAGATTTGGGTGTCCAGGTAAAATTGTTGTATCTTTGAAGCCTGAGATAGCAATGGAACAACTGATTCTCGTAAGGCTACAATATCATCGTCGTCAATGTCATTGATAAGAATTGATTTGACACGTCGACCAAGAGAATGGTCTCTTGTGATAATGTTCAGAAACGACTGGAATCTTCTCCATGTTTTCGGATGAGTAGGGTGTGTGTTTCTCGCTATGTTTCCGGCTGTCAACGTCGGCCTCGGGCAGCCGTGGCGTTGGTAACCCTTCCACTCCGTTCCACGTTTCAGGGCACCATTGCTCCAGCAATCCAGTCGTTCTTGGCAATATCTAGTCATGCAATGAGACTAAAGATCACAGTATACTCCACTAAGTGCGTGAAACATAATCAATTAGTGCAGGGCTACTTTGACTAGAGCAGAGCTCTGAAATGAGAGGAATTAAAAAGAGTACGTCTACCGAGTTAGAAAATCTCGGTTTCTGTCTGTCGCACACCATCTTCCAAGGCAGTATATACTATACTTAAGAATAGACTGGTTCTGACCCAGACATCAAGAGTTCACAACGCCTTTCCGGGGTCAGATGTGGATAATACATTCAATTATGGCATACTTTCGGATTTGTGTTCAGTACAAGCATGAACAAATGCCATGGGAATATGGGAAATAGGCGTCTTGGTTCGAGGGTCAAGCAACAGCCGGCTTGCAAGCCCAAAGCGTCTGAAGGCCCAGAGAGAGGCCCCTGAGCCTCTTTCACAAAGCGAAGTTATCATCTAGGGATGTTCAACATGGCTGAGAGTCAAGCGTCCAGTCTGTTAGTTTCCTCTCCTCTTTTTCCTTCATCTTCTTCTGCACAATGTCTTCTATCTCTTGCCTCTCTTCTGCAGTCAGTGATTGAAGACGGTCGTCGAGGTTGCCATCGCCAAAGAATCTTCTATCTATCTTCGCCCAGTATATCATGTCAAAAGCCCAACTTCTCCTGGCTGCATAGTTAACCCAGAAATCTCCGCTCTCCCAGCTGTCTCTCATATATGTAGAGAGACGGTGTTCTTCTGATAACAGCCCACGCTCGATTGCCACTTTCTCTCTTTCTTCCAGGACCCTCAGAAACGTCTCGAGGCGCGTCTCGTAAACGTTTGTCCAGTCATCCAACCCTTCCGGCCAGTACTCCGGCAGTTCCAGCAGAAGCCAGAACGGTGCGCTGTAGGCGAATTCAAGTGGTGCTGCATAGGTATATTCCCAATCTATTGCCCCGACGACTTTGAACTCTGCATTGGTGAGAACATTTGCAGGGCGAAAGTCATCGCAAAATAGCTTGAACGGGCCTCTGTCATTGTACTTGCAGAATCGACCCTCCCTTGCAAGTTTCCGGAATAGGAACCTTGCGATACATTTTGCTCTGCAGTCCTCGGCTGAGTCAACGGCATCATTACGCTGAGTAACCAGGTGCGCCATGTGCATATCAGCAAGGGCCTGGTAGTAGGATGATGAAGTCGGAAAAGGGCCGTCAGGGAGAAGATGGGGAGGAAAGTTTCCCACTTGGACGAGTTCATTCATGTTTAACGTCAATGGGCGGTGTTTCGCAACCCACAGGTCATCAAAGTCATCATCCTCGTTTGCTCTGGCTACAGAGCCGATTTCGGTGAACGTGTGCTTTGACAGCTGAAGCATGATATCGGCCATTTGACCGTAAGCAAACATTAGCCGTTCCTCTGAGATCTGGGGATCCAGGATTGGTCGTCCATCATCTGGGATTCCTGGCGTATTGAGCGCGTCAACGAGGTCGTATTCGTGTTCGATATACTCCATGATAATGAACGGCCCTAGTTCATCTGGACTCTCCTTGGTCATACCATAATGAAGAATATGGGACACCGGGATAGAGGTATGGAACTCGAGAAATTGCATTACGGAAACTTCTCGTTGGATTTTTTCTTCTGGAAACATCGACCTGCCGTAGCAGGGGATTCGCATAACAGCTGAACCGCCATCGACAAACTTCAAACGCACCCAGACATTGAAAGCGCCTCGGCCAGGTGTCAGAAGGGTGTCAGGAACACCGCCTCTCCATTTATCGATCAGGTGTCCCACGGCGATTAGATTTTCCCGTTTCAGCAGCTTCTCCCTTTTCCAGGTATCAAAACGCTTGTCACTCTGCTCCCAAGCTACATCGTCGAAATCCATACACTTTTCGGCAAGGATGGGGTGAGACATGACGACGAAGAATTGAGGGGATGCAAGAGATGGAAACATGCAGACAAGACCATTTACAAAATGACAAGTCAGATTATCAAACCCAGGGTATCTGCAGTTATCCAATCACAGTTAGACACCCTGCAGATGATAAAAGTAAATATGCCACCCTGTGAACCTCTTCTATTTGCTCCCTCTTGCGCTTTTGTACTTTCTCTACTACCACCCGGCTTACAATAAAATTTTCATTCACCCCCCGCTGCTTCCTGCCTGATTTTACATGGCCAGACCGCATCTCACAGTCATTACTGACCAAATACCTGCAACTCCATGTCTAACGCAGATGATACGCCCAATTTTGAGACAAACCAAGCACTATCAACTGTCCAACTCTTCCGGGCTAAAGGAACATTGCCAGTTTATCTTGCCAGACCGTCGTGCCCTTTCAACAGCACATTCATTCCACGAAATGATGAGGTCTATGAAATGCCCCACCCCCCGGGGCTGTTATGGAATATCAGCTGCAACAATAGACGCGTCCAGCTGTCAGCCAGCCCTGCCACAAGTATCTTATAGTCAGCGGTTGGTCATTTTTAATGAGACAACGGAGAGAATACCTCATGTCATTCACAATCCGCACAATGAAGAGGCTGCTACAGGCCTTGGCTGATCATTGTTGTGAGCACCCACCGCATTTGCATTGCCCCAGTTCTTAACTTCATTCTCCAGCGCTACTAAGTTGTCACATTTCAGGGTTACCTTTCCGTCGTTGGGCTTCTGGAGGAGAGCCAGAACGCGTAGCAACCAAACACGACAGGTGATGTCGAGAGTGTTTAACTGACTGTCGTATGTCCTTAGGGTCCGGTCTAAATGTCCCTCCCATCCTGCAGGGACATCGGCGATCTTGAAAAGACCCACGAGGAGAAATTCTTTGAAAACTCCCGCAGTATGCCCATGATCGGGGATCCAACCACTGCCTTGCTGCTTGACATGGTATTTTGTGCCACCGCTGTCAGGGTGACGGTGAAAGTAGAGGCCCCAGTGGAAATCGTTTGGAATTGGAGGACTATTCCTTATAAAGAGAATAATATAGAGCCCATTGACCTTGAGATCTGCCAGAGACATGGCTGGATGCGGATTGCGATAACAAAGAATAATTATAGAAATAATCTCCCTTTACAAGTCGCTTCTGTATCGAGGACTTGCTTGAGACTCCCACTTTATAGTTTGGGCCCCTTACGCCCCCCTTGCTGACTCCGGGCCACGTGAGCGACAAGTAGCGTCTTCCTAGATTATATCCCAAATGTATGGTATCCAAATGGCTTTAGCCAAGTGTATAAATTTTGGGCTGCGCCTAGATTACAACGCCGCTCCAGCGCTTCATGTGTGAGGAAGTCAGGTCAGACAATTGGATATTCAGCCCAGCCTTTCCATATGGAGCGCCAATTTGAAACGCGACCATGAGGCACGACATTTGCATGATGATATACATCCGCTTTAGGCGAAGAGGAAGAATGAATAATTTGTTACTTTTAGCCCTATTCCATACAGTTTGCCGCTGAAGAAGTGATCCAGTGTATCTATTCGTGATCAATGCATCACCACAGCCAGGGAGCGGTCAGGAGTATTGAAACACCATATCAACCGTTACTATTGGACGCGTGAAAGAATCCTCTTGAAAGGTATACAAACTGGTATGTTCAAGTCAGACTGTAGCCTTTACAGGAAACTTTTAACTGCACTAACACTCATCCAGGTTCTTCCACCTATCTCCTTTGCAGTCCATTCACCGTCCACGTCTGTCATGCTGTGGAGAATCTGAACAAGTGACATTGCTTTTCTGAGCGGCAAAGTGGTATGCTGGAAATCTGACTTCAAACTCTCTGGACGAATTCTCCTTCATCGTCCTCAATGGAGACCGAAATAACCGAGTCCAGCTGGGATAGAGCATCCATCAGACTATCTGGACCCGTGGAGCCATCTACCGTCAGATGGATGTCAAAGATCCGCTCGAGCCTTTCAATATGTGCTGCGGGTGTCTTTGGTGTCCTAGAGAAATTTGAAATCGACGCATGTCCGTCCCCTGCCGCAGGCCCTTTACTCGCGGCTTGATTAACAAGCACCTCTTCCAGTCGGGTTATCATCTGTACGCGAAACCCTGCCTCCATAATATTTATGAGCAGGGTCTGCAACCCGTCAGCCCCGGTCCGGTAGCGGATCACAGCCGAAATCTCTATGGAATCCTTCCTCCTGTCGAGGTATTGCCGCAGGATATGCATGAGAGTCGGGTAGACAAGTACAGCGAGGAAGTACAACGCGGTGGAAACGCTTGCTAATCTGAGTAGTCCAGCGCCGCAAGCAGCCCCAACCGCTGCACTCAGCCAAACACCAGCGGCAGTCGTCAGACCACGGATCTCGTTGCGTTGTTTGAAAATGATCCCCCCACCTATGAACCCAATACCCGACACGATCTGGGCTGCAATCCGGCTGGGGTCCAGCACGACCAGACCTTTATCCAGGACATCAAAAGACCCCAGTTTCGAGATCAGCATGAACAAGGCAGCGCCTATCCCGACCAGTGTATTCGTGCGCAGCCCTGCGGCTTTGTGTTTCCATTCTCGTTCAATTCCGATGATGGATGACAGTCCCGTGGCTACCAGTAGCTGTCCCACCTGTGTCCATGCCTGCTGGTCGGCTTGATCGAAGGGGTAACGCATATTGGAGCTCTGGTTACATATCCGTCAACTATTCGTTTCTCCAAGTTAGGAACGAGGATCAAAGTTTCATGCGCTACTGACATTATCTTGAGTGAAAGGTAGTGTGTTCTTCAAGCTGTCGCCTCTGCCGTTGCTGGGATTTATGTGTGTCCGGAGGCAAACCCAATATCACCGCAATATGAATAGGCCACCCTGATGTAAACGCAAGTACTGTTTCGTCGCCCACTCAGGCTCTGGCCGGGGAAGCCAGATGTCTTTAATATAATAGCTGTTGAAGATTTGAGGCCGCGTTCAGACTCAGAGCGCATTACGTCAGAATTATATGGTACTCGGGAGCGCACCAGAAAACGAACCACAGTCATTTAAGCTCCTCGGTTTGTTCCATATTTGCGCCCGTAACGACGTCATGTGAAAATACAATGGCCGGATGCGATTAAAAGCCAACAGAGGACCCGGGTATGTGAAAAAGGCGTGCCTGCGGCTTGCCGTCTTCTCGCAATTTCAGCGCAGCGCCCGCAATTCCAAATCCGATCTTATTTCTTGGGAAATCGGCCCAATCAGGGCTTTGGAAGGTCAAGCTCTGTAAGCTAGAACCTTTAGAATAGGCTCGTTAGGGCCGGGAGCCACTAAATAAAGCTCGGAGGCTTGTCTAGAGCTCCACTGCAAGTGGGACATAGTCGAGCAAAGTTACGAGTTTATTAGCTCTCGGGTGGGTCATAGCAAATACTGAGACATTAACAGTCTTGTTATAGCCAACAATGAATGTTCCACGGATAAATTCTATATACAAGTCAAAGAAGGAATTAATTCGTTGTCCAGGAGTCAAATCGCGAAGACAGTGCCTAGCACCCAATCGTTGTACTCGGGTACCGGCCAAAGAAATTTGTATTATAAAGTATCTAGCAGTCCGGAAAAAGTATCACTATATAAAGCCTGATCAGTTCAAAGAAACCGACGTCCGCCTCAGATTCTCGTGAGATGACTAGTCAATTTGCGGATATGGTCTCTAACAGTATAAGTTCATAATTCACAAAATATACGGAAGAAGAAGACCGTTACCTAAGTTGCCGAGGCACAGGTATCACCATTTGGAGGCTGAATGCAACCCAAATAGCAGAAAGTACTCAGTTGTATGCCACCGTTGGAATCTTTGCATTTGAAGAGCGCATCGTCCGGTTTAACAAGGGCATCCAGATTGCCCATGAAGACAACCGACATGAGCTCCTGAGTTGAGTATCCTTTCGATTGCAGATTTAGCAAGAGGATCAGGCAGCTAGCATTCTGCTTCAGCAGGTCTGTACGTACCATGATACTGCTCCAGGGTTTTGCCACAGTATAGAAGACCTTCTTTGCATGCATTCGTGAAGGACAGGGCGCCAGGAAGCAAGCTAGCGCCAGCGAGAAGAGCGACGGCCAGCTTCATGTTGCGGTGGAGTAAATAGTAGCCTATGACCTTACGAAAATCGACTGAGACATGAAAACTGGGTTTAGTCCACTGGCTCTTATACTCCTTAGTCTTGTGGCCTCTCAAACGGTACTGTCCGCAAGGGATGCATTCTCGAGCGGAGCCAACAATGTCTTGTTTGCGAACGGGCCAGTGAAGTTACACGGAATGCCCCGAGAAATGAGAATGCTACTCCTGTTGACATTCAAAAAGAAACAGCTCGTTGTACTGTGGGGACTGGGGCATAGAACGGTCAATTCAAATTGATCCAACCACCTGCACGCGCGCGCAACATTTGGCTCTTACTACTATTATATCCCATGATTCACATAAGGAGTCTCCAGTGGTCTCACCGCAAGATGCTGCGTCGTCGAAACATAGTAATGCTTCAATTCTTCGGACGGCCTTACCATGAAGGATTTGGCTGGCTGTGCTGACTCCTCCTTGACACCGACGATTGAGACGTTCAGATCGCGCTCTACCCGCGTAGTGCTTCCAAACAATAGGTAATTCGATCGATTAACCTGGTACCCGTATCACGAAATTCCTGCGCCCTTGGATATCCCTTGGGCTGGTCGATGGTGCTCGAAGCGTCTAGCCCACGCGACTATCTCAACAGTGTCGCCAGGCTCACGAGAAGAAATCACAAGATCGAATGCCTCTGTCAAGATAAACGCTTAAGCGGAGGTCATCTGATTCTTCTACGGATACAAGTGGAAGGCTCTCTTTAATAGATTGGAAATGTAGCCGATCTCTGCATTATTAGTACCAAGTCAGGCGTAACTCTTAGCTATAACACCTTCTTTTCACTTGTCCACAAATCAGGGCAATATCTGGCACGTTCAGAACGTCAATTAAAGAAGGGGTTGATGGGGGTGGGAGTGCAAGAATGAGACACCGAATACATATTAGGATTCCTCCCCAACATACTGTATTATGCAGACCCCAGTAGCCTTATCGTTCTACATTATTCTGTCATAACACTCTCAGGACTACTAAACAGGAATAGATATATGCAGCTGAAGTTAGGATGGACTTCTTGGTTGCATATCTATATTCCCTCACGGCTTCCAGGGCAAACCCCGACATACCAAGTTAAGCCTCATCACGGGTTTCGATTAGATATTTCAGCCTAGATAGACTGAATTTTATGATGATATTCCGGGAATTCTAACGATATCCCTTACTTTCGTGTCCAATAAGCAAGCAAGCTGGAATCGTGGTCTGGGCTTAGTAGGGCCCCTACCCCTCGCTCCAGGCCCAACTCAGAGCTTTAGGGTACACTGGACGCGTTCCTCAGGCTAGTTACTTATACAGTACAAAGATATGTTGCATAACATCAGAACATATCCACAATCACTTTATTACTATCGTTTACTATATAATTTGATTAGGTGAGAGTGTATGAGAGGAGTAAGCCAGCCTCGTCCTTTGCACTAGCCATCAGTTCGAGGATTTGGCCTGAAAGGCCAATGATCAGGAGGCCAGGAAAATAACGAACGTAGCCAGAGATTTTGCTGCTGCAGCTGACCCTGCATCAGCCTAAGAAGACCATTCTCGATGCCTTGCATAGTCAGGCAACAGAGGAACTCTCGGAATAGTGTTCCTTGTGCCACGCTGCCGCCTCATTCCCTGCTATACGTCCAAAGACCACGCACTCCAGCAAAGACGACCCTCCCAGGCGGTTCTGGCCATGGACGCCGCCGGTCACCTCCCCTGCAGCCCAAAGCCCTTCTATTGGGGTCCCTTCTGCACCTATCACCCTGCTATGCTCATCAATGACCACTCCCCCCATCGTAAAATGAATGACAGGCGTGACCTGTCCAGCATACACCTCGTACTCTGGCATTACTTCAGTCAATTTCCAGTGACCAAATGATTTACGGCCGAATGGATCCTTTTTCTGGCCGGACACAACATCCCCATACTCCTGGAGGGTCTTGACCGCCGTCAATCCGAGCTCTCCGACTGTCATCTTCTTCATGAGTCCCTTCCAGACGTAAAAGTCCATATGCGAGCCCGCGGCCGCCGCGGCGCTCTCATCAAGTACAAGCGTCACATCCCACTGGCGCGTAGTTGTCTCCGTCCGACAGGTCGACTTCACAATCGCGTCAACAACATGTTGACGGGTCTCCAGCTCATTCACGAACCGGCTTCCATCGCCATTAAGCAGGATTCCACCCTCGCCGCGGAGCATCTCCGCCGCTAGGATCTTGACCAACGCAGCCGGATCCTTGGGATCCACGAACCCAGTCGGATGAACCTGCACGCAGTCCATATCCACCACCGACGCACCCACCTCTTCGAGAATCGGCTGCGTCCCCTCCCTCGCCTCATTGGTCGACGGGTAGTTAGCCAGATCAGGCCGATACCGCGCCAGCATACCCCTAGAATCACCCGCAAACCCACCCGTAGCAAAAATCACCGGTCCGCTGAGCGTGTGCTTCTCCGTCTGTTCCTTCCCTTGCTGTCCACCTCCACCCTCAACAGTAACATACTCCACCCCCTTAACGCACTCCCCCTCCTTTACCACCCGCGTAACTCTAGCCCCGCTCCGCAGGCTAAACAACTCCTCCCCTTTCAACTCCTTAAGCAACGCCCCCACAATCGAAAAACCGGGCGGGTCCCGCCCCGCCCCCCGATGCGTCCGCGGGAAGCTATGACCACCCAATTGCGCGACTCGACTGAGATCAACCCCCTTCTCATCAACGAGCCAGTGCACTGCGTCTGCAGAGCGAGACGCAAGGGTGGAAATAAGCTTCTCCCGCCGGGCGCGCTCGTCGCTACTTGCTTCTGTCAATGCGTCGCCAGCGGACTTGATTGTGTCTTGGAAGAAGACATCGGCATTGTCGTCGTTGCCTTGGAACCTTGTTCCGGCGCCGTTAATTCCTGAGGAGGCTTTGATGGAGTTGCCGCCTGGTTTGGGGGCGCGGTCGAGCATCTGCACCGGGATGCGGTGTGATATCAGGGTGCTGGCGGCGGAGAGCGCGGCTAGGCCGGAGCCGACGATTATTACTGGTGGTGGAGTTGCCATCTTTAGCATTTCTTTCAGCGAATTGAGTTTTGAGTTTATTTGGGGTGTGTGCGAATATAAGGTGTCAGGGAAGGGGGAATGGAGATCAGGCCATGGTGGGCTGATCGTTATCCGATGATTCCATGACGCTGACATCACGCAGCATAATTTGTGCCTGCGTCGGCTTATACTTCACAACCTAACCTGAAAATCGACCAGGAGGAGAGCAGTATCGAATTGTGGAATTCTTCTGGCTCGTATGAGATTTCTGCCGACGGGATTATGTGCCTTTGAAGCTCGGAATGCTGAACAGGGAGACTGAATGCTATTGAGGATAGGCGAGACTGTCATTGTCTAATCTATAGTCCCATCAGTACGACTACTTAAATTAGAGAATAGGACATGATCGGGCTGTAGCCAAGCATTGCAGTGTTTGCCAGAAAGTAGGGACTTTCTTGGCATGATTTATAACCCAGTTTCTGCCATATATGGCAGAAGCTGACTGCTAGGAGCAGTTTGAATTCCAGTAGGCTCTCTTCATGCATAGGAGAGCAGAATGAAGTCTCAGATACCGACCATAGCTTAAAGGCGATTATCTTGGACGAGGAAGGGTCACAATCCGCTGACGTGCTACACGTGTCGCTTCCGATATCCCAAAAGCTGGCTATTCATAGACCCTTTGCCGTGCACTGTGTCACCAGATGCAACATCTTTGAACTGATAGACGTGCGAGTGCTGTGCAGACAGCCGCGCTCTTCACCTCCCAAGCGCATATCATGTCAACTTCGGTGGTCTCTGTCAGGTTGACTGATCAGCGCAACGCGCTGCAGCTCATGACTCGACGGACAGTGATAGACACATGGAATGTCACGGGCGTTAATTGACCAGGGCAGAATTGGATGGTAAAGTACCACTCCGTTTGCCGAAGAAAATAGGGAGATTCCAATATCATGATTAGGGGTTGTATTGGACTACTTCGTGTCCAGGTTTGATATATTGATCGCTTTCATCTATATCAGCCGAGTGATTGGTCCTTGCTTGGTTACTGAGTCGGTACATCTCAACCCGATAGGTCTGAAATTCACAGATGTCCCCACACTCCACTTCTTCTTTGGGCATACGGAGTACCTCTCCTAGACGTACGCACAACGGCTAAACCGCCGAACTAAACCCATAACGCAGAAGTCTGTCGAGAATTAAATTAAACTAGCCCATTCGAAGCTTATTTACCCCGCGCGAAAGCACCCCACAGGAGCCAAATGCAAGCGAATTAGCCTTCAGTCGGGGAACTCGGACGGAAGCCGGCCCATCTCCACCGGACAACGGGGTATTTAGCCTACCCCTCGTCCGGACTCTAGGGCAAGCTCACTGACACCGAGACCAGGAACAGAATGGAAGCCGAGGTATCAGTGCAAGAGGATCGCCCTGCTTGTCGCGCCTGTCGCAAGCGGAAACTCCGCTGCTCGCGCGAAGTCCCGCTCTGCGCTCATTGTCGGAGGATCGGTAGCTCCTTATCCTTGCCCTTTTTGGAAGCTCACGTGCTAAGGGGTATAGGAACGACGTGTGAGTATGACGGCGAGCGAGAGAAGCCAGGTCTTAAGGCCGGAGCGGTGGAGGCGTTGAGGAAGCGGGTTGGTAGGTAATTTCTTGATCGGCAGGTTCAATCTGACATCCAGTAGAGGCGCTCGAAAATGCCGTGTTCCATCAGGAACGATCTGAAGAGCATAGACCAGTATCTGATAGCAGTGCGGTGGCTACTGCGCTTCGAGAAGGGATGGAACTACTCCTTGGACAACTGCAGCAGCAACCACATACCCGTAAACGACCATGCGAGGACTCGGTGTCTGATGTACCATGCTCACCATCAAACAAACGGAGACGGGTTAACGATACCCTGATTGAGCCGGATGACTACAGCTTCTCTGATCTGTCGTCGAGTCTACCTCCGCCAGCCGTCCTAGAGGCCGTGGTCGATTCATACTTTGCGCTTGTACAGCCGTGGATACCGATCTTCCACGAGAAGAGATTCCGCCGGCGGCTAAGGAGCGCTGACAAGTCTCGCCTGGAGGTAGTGCTGCATGCGATGGTGGTTGCGATGCTCAAGCATGTCGATCAATCTGTGCTTCCGGCAGATCTGAAAGATATTGAAGCTGTCTGTGAACGGTCCCGGAAGATCGTCGTGCTGACGGCAATGGATGACCTCTACGTAGAGAATTTGCAGGCTTTGATTATTATCTGCTTTGAGGATGTATGCTTCATTCCCTATACTACTTGTAGAAACTGACAGGTTAGATTGGATCCGGGAGGGTCTCTAGAGCGTGGCCGATCGTCGGTTCCTTGACGAGAACAGTCGAGTACCTCCAATTGAGCGTCGAGTCCGAGAACCACGATACAGGACGAGTCCTACAGCCTCGACCTTCCCTTCCGGTGGCTGCAGACTGGGTGGAGGAGGAAGAACGACGACGTGTTTTCTGGACCGTTTTCAACCTAGACAGGTATGCCCCCGTTTTTCATGGCGTATCATCACTAACATCACAGATTCTGCTCGGTGACTACAGGGTATGTCTGCTCAAAAGCCGACCGCATAGAATCCCGCTGAGATCTACAGGTGGAACACCAGCCTCACCTCCAATGACGTCCACCGCCGCCTCCCCGCAGACGGCGGCCTCTGGCACAACGAGGAACCCGTCACAACCCCCTTCTTCGGCATCTGGGACCGCTCCGCCGGCAAGATCGGCACCCTCATTGCCTTCCTACCTACAGACAAGCCGTCCCCCACAGCACAAGTCGACATGTCAACCGTAGGCGCCTTCGCCTACCGCGTCGAAGCCACCGAGTCGCTAAGCCGCGTGACGACCTTCTTCCTCCAGCAGCGGATCAACCACCGCGACCGCCAGGAGATGGGAAGCTGGCTGATGCGGTTCAAGGAGCTGGATCTCCGGCTGGTCAGCTGGAAGATGTTCCTCCCGCAGAAGTGGAAGGACACGAATATCTCGCGGCAGCCGACGGTGGTGACGATGGATCCGAACCTGACGCTGGCGCATATCACTCATAACACGTCGATGATCCTGCTGCATCAGCGGATTGCGTATCCGCCGCCGGAGTGGTTGGAGGTGGTGAAGTTACCCACCCTGTCCAGCGCGGAGACCTGCGAGGCGGCGGCAGCCGAGACGGCGAATATCACGGAGAAGTATCTGGGGAACTGTCCGCGGGAGGGCGTTGTGGATAGTCAATTTGCGTTTTGTGTGTTCGTCAGTGCGAGGGTTCTACTTGGTGGGTGGCCTTCTTGGATATTCCGCTACTGCTAACGGCGGACAGTACATTGGAGATATTATGGCACACCCTTGTCGCCAGATTACTGGACATTGATGAAATGCCTCGATGCCATGGCGACGCGCTGGTCTGGCCGTGTACAGGCAAATCGTCAGAACTCGGCGGCCAGGTACTTTGGCCAGCTCAACGCCATCCACCGGGCGTGCCAAAGCGACGAGAACTTCAAGCTGGATGTTCTGGGCTACTCCAACGAGATTGAATGGACTGGAGATAGCCAGCAAACAGCACCAGCAGCAGTACCTGAAAGCACGGCGGGACTGTCTCAGGTCGCCTTCCCTCCAGATCTACCAGCGATGCTGCACTCTAGTCCAGCGAGAATGAGCTACAACACAGGCAGCCCGGACGAATTGACGACAGTCACATCAATCCTGTTAGATCAGCAGTACTCGGAGATGGACCGGATCATCAGTCTAAATAATGCATATTTCGCATCAGATGTAGCCTATAGTACTTGACTAGCAAATTGTCCGAGATTTACCCCGAGCCCCGATAGATATATCACCCCTCATCTTTAACAAAGACGTAATCCTTAAATAAATGTAATCTTAATCTAAATCGAAGGACTAAGACACGATATGCCTCCCCTCTCCAATTTCAGCAACAACCCCCTCCTCACCCGCAACGACCAAGTCCAGGCTGCACTCGGCCTCGTCCGCCCTCTCCACGCCCACTTCTCCCCCGCACGCGCCTTCATCCGCCTCCCAATCGCAACAGGCGCGCATTTTGACGATGGCGCCGCCTTGCTCGAGGGATTCGCCCGCCCACTCTGGGTCATAGCTACCCTTCTACATTCGTTATCCTTCACGTCCGATCCAGCCACCATCGAAGCCATAAAAACCGTGTCTCAACCATGGATCGAGGGCATCCGCGCCGGCACAGACCCAGAGCATGAAGAATACTGGGGAACCATCGCCAACGGCGACCAGCGCATGGTCGAAGCGGAGGTACTAGCCTGCGCGCTGCTCTTCGCGCCCGACGCCTTCTTCCACAGCCAGGATGCGAGCACACAGCGCAACATCGTTGCGTGGCTGCGCGGCATGCACGGGAAGGACATGCCGGTTAACAATTGGCGGTGGTTTCGGGTATTTGCGAACCTGGCTCTTGTTCTTGTTGCAGGTGTTCCGTATGATGAGGTCAAGGGGGAGATGGACGCTGATTTTGAGGTGCTGGATGGGTTTTATCTTGGGGGTGGGTGGTCGGGCGATGGGCCGTGGTTGTCTGCTGAGGAGGAGGTAAGGGAAAGAGAGGAGGGGATGCGGACGGGGCGATGGGATGCTATAGGGTGTGGTCGCCAGGCGGATTACTATTCTGGGAGTTTTGCGATCCAATTTAGCCAGTTGCTTTTTGTGAGGTTTGCGAGCCATTTGGACCCGGTGCGGGCGGAGAGGTACCGGGTGCAGGCAAGGGAGTTCGGGGGGAGTTTTTGGCGGTATTTTGACCGGGATGGTATATCTCCTCGGTTCTGTATAGATGTGGAGTGCTGAGGCTGACGCGAGTAGGAGACGCAATCCCCTTTGGACGCTCCCTGACGTATCGCTTTGCGTGCGGGGCGTTCTTCGCTGCGCTGGCTGTCGCTGATATCTCTGATATGCCGGAGCCATTGGCTACTCTCGGCGCAGTCAAAGGATTTCTCCTGAGGCATCTACGCTGGTGGGCCGCTCACTCAGCAGACATGTTCTACGCCGATGGGACGATGAATATTGGCTACTTGTACCCGTACGTCTCCCCCATACTGCCAATCTATTACAAGCCTAACAAAGACAGAAACATGTACATGGCTGAAGACTACAACTCCCCCCAGTCAGTCTACTGGAGCCTCAAATCCCTCATCGTCCTTCTCCTCCCCGACTCGCATCCCTTCTGGACCACCCCAGAAGCATCGTACCCTACCACACAGTCACCGGTGGAAATTGTGTCTGCACCACAGCAGCTCCTCTGCAACCACCCAGCCGGCGGCCACCACTTCCTTCTTAATCCCGGCCAATTCGTCGCCTGGCCGATGAAAGCCTCACAGGCGAAATACTGCAAGTTCGCGTACTCGTCCGCGTTTGCGTTTAGCGTGCCCACAGGCCCACTGATACAGCAGCTCGCGCCGGATAGTACCCTTGCGCTGAGCCGGGATGGGTGCGCGACCTGGGCTGTGAAGTGGAAGGCGTCGCCTGTTCAGTTTGGGACTGCTAGTGTACAAGGACAGAATGAGAAAATCCCTGTGGCAGAGGTCGAGTGGAGGCCGTGGGTGGATGGGGAGGTCTTGGTGCGGACTACGCTTCTTCCGCCGACGGATCGATGGCCGGATTGGCATGTTAGGATTCATCGGATTCAATGCAGTAAAAACCTGGAGAAGTTGCATTTGGTTGAAGGGGGGTTTGCGATTGAGAGGGTGCCGAAGGCGAATGTGAAGACGCCTGGTCGGGAGAGGGTTCTTCCTGCTCTTGAGGGGGAGGATTGGTTGGATAAAGATATCGGGGTAGGGGAGGGCGTGCATGTGTCGCAAGATAGTGTGCTTATTCTGTCTGAGGCTGGGGCGAGTGGTGTTCGTGGGATAGCTTTCATGGCAAGGACGGAGCATGAGGCGTTGAAGCCGGACTCGAATACGAATCTCATGGCGCAGCGGACGTTGATTCCTGTGGTGAGACATGGCATTGACTGTGACTCTCAAGAGGTGGTCCTGGTGACGGCTGTCTTTGCTGTTGCGACTACACAGGACCAGAGTCGCCGGAGTCTACGGGAGAGATGGATGGATTTTCCACAGGTTGATCTAGAGGTTGATAGTATCACACTGAAGTAGTCATTTGAGGTATATAATCACTTAATATCATATGTATAGTCACCTCTAATGTCTATATCAATCCCAGCTTCAACAACTGATTCCCAAACTCCAGCAGATAGTAATCCGCATACACAAGCCCATGGTCACTGTATCGATCCAGATCCTTTGCATTGTGGTTCGCCGTCGCATTGCGCAGAATCGCATCAAATCGCTCCCCAGACACATCCTCCACCTGCTTTCCTCCCTTGACCAACCTCGCCTCCTCCCTCGAATACGAAAACTCCACCGTCTCACTCACGATCCTCATCGCCGCATCTCTGAACCGCCGCGCGAGCCCCTCGTCATCCCCAACAAACACCTGCGAGAGCAACAACATCCCATTTGCGGCAATCACTCCAGCGGAGGAATCCCGCAACGGATTCGCCTTGTCGACAGGCGCATCAAAGTCCCACAGCGGCACATACCTGCCCACCATCCTCCCATCCACCATCTTCTCCACACAAGCCGGCGCCTCATCCAGCCTTGCAAGGAAGTATTCAGCCAACCCAACGGCGACGTGGAGGAACTGCCTGTCCTTCGTCCAGGCGTACGTCTGCGCATACCCGGTAATCGCCCACGCCTGCCCGCGCGCCCACGTTGAGGTAGCAGAGTACCCCTGTGCGGTACGGCGCTCTTTGATTGCCCCCGTGGCAGGGTCGAAGTTGACGACGTGGATGGTGGAGTAGGCCTCTTTCCCTGCTATACTTTCCCGTCGGAGATGGGAGTTAATGAGCGTTTTCGCGTGCGTGGTCGCGATAGCCGCGAGCTCCGGGCCGAGATGCGCAGCAGCGTAGAAGAGAAGATCGAGGTTCATCATGCTGTCGATGATGACGAGGCAGTCAGTCTCTAGGGAAGTGATTTCCACGTCGGACTGGCGAAGGGCGTCCCAGCTGCGGATTGCGCCGGTGGAGGGGACGAAGCGCGAGGCCAGGCTTTGGGCGCCGGTTAGCAGGGCCTGGAGACTGGCCGTGTTGGAGGTGAGTTCCCAGGAGCGGCGGAGGGAGGGGGCAAGGATGAAGCCTAGGTCGTGGGTGTCTGTTCGGAGGGACATGGGGTAGATGGGGGTGGTCCATTTGGTGCAGAGGGTGAGGAGGTGGTCTCGCAGGCTGGCTGGATCGAGGTTGTGGTTGTGTCCGAGGTATGGAAAGGTCGAGGGGTATCGGATTGCTCGTTCGAGGAGGAGATACAACAGCCCCGGGAAGAAGCCGCAGGTCCAGAAGGAGGATTCGCGGAGGATGTAGCTGCCTGTCGAGGCGCCTTTTTGAGGGACGAATTCCGGGTACTCGGTCGGAGGGTCCTACATGTCAGTATCAGTCAGTATCAGTATTCGAATGATCTTGTAGTGTGGTAATGGTACATTATTTTTTAATGCCTCGACGGCCACGCGGAGGACCTTGGCCAGCACATTTTCAGAGAAGATTTTGTCTAGAGGCTGAGATCCATTGGACTGGATTTGATGGTTAGCTGTGTCTACAGTCATTTTGCAGAGTTGTCAGGTTAAGAATTGTAAGATGATGGATAAGCTCTCTGATGATGCTTATGATGCTTATCACTGCCACTATATCGTCCCTCGGAGGAATCATGCCCGAGCACATTAGCCCGCCCCGACGCCATCAGAACCCCCAGAAATGATCAACGGTCATCGGACGATTGACTTCAGAATTGGCCCGATGTTCCCCAGATTTTCCCCACGTCAGGTGGGTACATAAACTCATGAGCTCTTGCTGTCCGTGGACCAGCAATCCACCGCAGTCAGTCCAGTACCGACAAGATGACTCCACAAGATAGACAAGACGAGGATAACTTCGAGGGCCTCACTCTCAAAGATGTCACTCCCAAGCGTCCTCCCTTTTACAAGGATTGGACCCTCATCAAACTCAACACACTCCTGCTATGTGCCCTCCTCACGCAAATCGCCTCCGGATACGACAGCAGCATGCTCAACGGCATGCAGGCCCTCCCCCAATGGAACAAATACTTTGGCAAACCAACAGGCACGCGTCTCGGCGCCATGTCCTTCGGTCCAACTGGTGGCACACTGATCTCCGTCCTGGTCTCCTCGCAGCTCTGCGAGCGCTTCGGCCGCCGGTACCCTATCTGCGGCGGCTCGCTCATCATCATCCTGGGCTCGATCCTCCAGGCCGCTGCGGTCAACTACGGCATGTTCGTGGTCTCACGCTTCTTCGTCGGCTTCGGCCTGGGAATCGTCGCCACGGCGGCCCCGCCTCTCCTGACAGAAGTCGCCTACCCCTCCCAGCGAGGCAAGCTCGTCTCCTTCTATCTAACCACCTGGTCGCTGGGCTCGCTCATCGCCGCCTGGATCACCTACGGCACGTTCAAAATGACCGACTCCAGCTGGAGCTGGCGCATCCCCAGCATCCTGCAGTGCTTCTTCTCCCTCATCCAGGCCGTGCTGAGCCTCTTCGCCCCGGAATCCCCCCGCTGGCTCATCTACAACGGCCGCCGCGAGGAAGCCCTCGCCATGCTCGCAAAATACCACGCCGACGGCGACGCCTCCTCCCGCCTCGTCCGCTTTGAAATGGCCGAAATCACCGCCACGCTGGAAATGGAGAAGATGCAGCGCGCCTCCCGCTGGATGGAGTGGGTGGCCACGAAGGGAAACAAGCACCGCCTGTTTTTAGCGCTCTACATCCCCGCCATGCTGCAGTGGGCCGGCAACGGCCTCACCTCGTACTACCTCTCCAAAGTCCTCAACACCATCCACGTCACCAACCCGCGCACCCAGCTCATCATCAACGCCTGTCTATCTGTTTGGTCGTTCCTGACTGCCGCCTGCTTCGCGACGCTGGTCGATCGCGCAGGCCGCCGGCGGCTGTTCCTCTGCGGCATGGGCGGGATGGGCGTCTCCTACGTGATCTGGACGGTGTGCTCGGCCCTGAACCAGGAACACGGCTTCAAGGATAAGGGGTATGCGGCGGGCGTGCTGGTGATGATTTTCCTGTTCAGCGCGGCGTATCATATGTGTTCGCCTGTCGCGCCAACGTACATCATGGAGGTGGTGCCGTACTCGCTGCGCGCGAAGGCGAGCATGATGTACCAGCTCACCGGCAATCTGGCGGGGATCTACAACTCGTTTGCGAACCCAGTGGCTATGGATGCCATTTCGTGGCKGTATTATATCGTCTGGTGCTGTGTAATCTGCGTGCACTTCGTGCTCATCTATTTCTTCTTCCCTGAGACCAAGGGCAAGGGGTTGGAGGAGGTGGCGGAGATTTTCGACGGGCCGGATGCGCTGTCTGGGGTTAATGCTATGAGGCAAATGGGGTTGGATGTGCATGCTGACAAGGCTGTTGCGGTTAAGGGTGGGAGTGCAAGTGCGCATGTCGAGAGGGTTGAGGCTTAACCAGATTATATCCATTTTTGATGCAATCGCACACTAAGTCCTCCAGCTACAGCCTCAAGAGTGTAAGCATCTCACTAATGAAAACTCAGTAGTTATTCGGTTTTTAAGAAAGGCTCCTTCGAGAGTGACATTGGTTGAGCTTACCCACAGCCTGGTTCCCCTGACCTCCAGTCACTTCAACACCTAACCTTGAACTTATTATGCTTGTCCATGCAATTGCTCGTTCCCCATTCTTAAGTAACCCTTCCCTTGGATGCCAGAAGTTTGAACCTCGGAGACATTGCGGTGGCGGCATCATCATAGGCAACCTGCAGTGGTTCCTGAAGAAGAAACCAGCCTATATTCTTTCTTAAGTGTCAAAATTTAGAATTAGAACCGATAACTGGCTATGTCAAAATAGACACCATTCAGGCTAAACCAAGTTCCTCAAGTTTCCAATCATTCAGTGCTGAGAGAGAAGCCAGCGTCTTATGATGGTCTGGCCCCAACTTCTGAACACGTAACTGGTAGCACTTTTCCATAAGAGCCACTGCATTTTCTCGCTTCCCCCGGCTCTTGAGTACTGTTGCAAGCTCACTCAGGCTGATGAGTGTGTGAGGATGCTCTTTGCCCAGCACCTTTTCCTGCAACTCCACTGTCCGCCGAAACATACCTTCAGCTTCCTCATACTTCCTTTGACTGCTCAGCACTGAAGCAAGGGTATACAGACAGGTAAGCCTGTCTGGATGCTCTTCGCCAACGCTATTCTTCATCTGTTCCAGCGCCTGCCGACAGAGACCCTCGGCCTCCATATAATTCCCCTTGCCGTTGTTGAGCACCTCTGCAAGCTGACCCATGTTTCTAAGTGTCTCCGGATGGTCTTTGCCAAGCACCTTTTCCCGTACTTGCATCGTGTGCCGAAAGATGCCCTCAGCTTCCTCGTACTTCTCTTGAAAGCCGAGCACCTGTCCGAGGGTCGCCATACAGCTGAGCATGTATGGATCCTCTTCACTAAGCTTCTTCCTCAGTTGCTCCACCGCCTGCCGACAGAGGCCCTCAGCTTCCTCGTATTTTCCCTGGCTTCTCAGCACGCCTGCGAGCCTGCTCATACTAAAAGCAAGGTCGGAGTCATCTTTATCTAACACTTTCACGCTTTGATCCAAAGCCTGCCGGTGCATCTTCTCAGCTTCCTCATATTTCCCTAGGTAGTCCAAGAGCACACCAAAGTTACTCATGCAGTTTAGCGTAGACGGACTCACTTCACCCAGGACCTTCCGTTTTAGCTCCACTGTCTGCTTGAACATGGCCTCAGCTTCCTCGTACTTTCCTTGGTAGCTCAGGTCTATCGCAATACTCTCCATAGTCTCGAGCGTTTGCGGATGCTCTTTGCTAAACAGCTTCTCCTGCAGCTCCAGTGCTTGCCGCGTCATCTGCTCAGATTTCTGATACTGCCCGAGAACATAATAGCACTTTGCTGCGATCCGAAATAAGCATGATGCTGCTTCATCTGCGCAGCCTTCTCGAGACCCAAGCGCAGCCTCTAGATGCGGCAAGCATTTGATCCATGTATTTTTGTTGTCACTTTGTGGAAGAGGAACTGCTTGCTTCAAGTGCTGGATCACCTCCGTGACACATTGCCCGTGTTTTCCTTCTTCGTCCAACCAGTTCCGTGTCGCTAGTCGAACGAGTCTGTGCATGTCGAACGAATCGTGAGTGCCACGACTGGTGATGAACGCGTATGCTTTCAGTATGCCGATCGCTTCGTCTGCCTCGAGCTGGTCGCTTGCGGGTGGGAGGAGAGAGACTGGAATTTCCTTTTCGGCAAGGAAACATATAAACTTCAGATACCACGCGGCAACTGGGCTGTCGCGTGAAATATGCTGGAATGAGATCAGCCAAGTGGTGGCCACTGGATTCTGACTGCCCCTGTAACGTCCCCGATCCTCAAAGTCCTTGCTAAGCAGCTTGATCAAGGTTTTATCGCTTGACTTGCAGTGCTCGAGATAATTCGCAATGGGCATCCTTGTCTTGGCCATGTATGCGGATGCCTGTTTGATTGCAAGGGGAAGATTGGCTAAGAAGACCAGCAAGCTTTTCGCATCTTCGAGGTTGCATCCCTGGCTATTCAAGCCTTTCAGTAATAGATCCGTCGCTTCGGCGACGTCCATTTCCGCCGTGGTAACAATATTTCTTTCCGGAATATCGAGTTTCACAGCGGCTTCGTGGCTTCGAGTGGTAAAGAGGACAGAACCCTTCCGGCTGAATGGGAGGCAATCGGAGAGGGGCATGTCACTGAAGAGCAGATCTGGATCATCCGCGTTGTCGACGATCAAGAGCCAGTGGCCACTGCTCTCCCGACTCAGAGCTTTGCTAACAAGTGCTTTGACGTCCGCCGTGTCTTCATCGATGCCTCCGACGCCAAATTGGCGTCCTATTTCTCGATAGGCATTCTCAAAACTTGAGGCATTCACTGCTGGGACCCAAAAGATGGAGCAACGGGGGTGTGCGTCACGGACCCGGAAGGCAACCTCGAGCGCAATTTGCGTCTTTCCGACTCCTCCGAGGCCTACGATGGCTGTCCTTTGGCAATCGTCCACTTCTGCGGTAGGCGGAATGATCGTGAGAAGCCGGTTTAGGATTGATTCACGTCCGACGAAATCTCTGTTTCTTCCAAATGGTACACAGAAGTGAGGTTCTCTGGTAACTAACCCGAGTGTTAGAACGGTTTCAGGCGTTTCCACACAGTTTGATTGACGCTTGGCTTACGATTCTTCCGACGTTCCATCAAGTCTTTCGAGGTAATAACCATTTTGCTAATCTCCTCCGAGACGCTTATGAATGATCGGTCCTGAGGGCCGGAGAATTTGTTCAACTTCAGGTGGTCGCTTTGCAGAGCGAACCTATTGCAGCCGGGAATGCAAGCGGAAGCCTCGTGGACAACCTGTCGTCAGGGTTTAGTTAGACGCTGTTCATCCACTCATGCGATATACGTGCCATTCCCTTGATTAACCCGGGGATTCGGATTTTCCTTCCGTAGTCCGTCGCGTAGAGTTCGAAGAAACATGACGTCGGTATCAACATCCTCTCCCGGAGACGGCAAAAGCTGTGCAACTTGTCTGTCATGGTCGGGCTGTCGTATTCGAGATCGTTGATGATTCCTGCATGCGATTGAGCGAGGGACAGGACCCGTGCTGCGAAGGAGGCCACGGGTTGCAGGGCAGATCCCCTGAAAGGGGAGCCCAAGAAGACAAGACCGACAATGAGTTTCGGCAGGTATGAGAATTCTGCCTCCGAATCGGCGTATAACAGAGCCTGTCTCGGCAGATTGAGCATCAATCAATCAAGCCATATCACCAGTGCAGACTCACATGTTGGATGACATTCCCGCCCAGGCTGTGACCGATCAAAAGAATTGGGCGGCCCGTCATGCCATTATGATTACGGAAGTTGTGCACGCTTCGTATTAAATCTTCGCCGCAGATCTGTAGACGGGTCTGTGGAGCGTTCGAATGCCATTTCGAGTCATAGTTGTATACCATGATTCTTGACTTTGGCACAACGTTCGGAAGCATGTCCCTGTCTCTTAACCAGTGGATATCTCGGGTTTTGCTCTTCCAAGTCCAAGACCAATCCACATTAGACCCGAGACCATGTACAGCAATGATGCTACAACCTTTCGTCAGATGCAGAATTCCAAAGAATTCTGGTGGGAGAGAGAGAAGAGACTTACTCAACCTCGGCCTCACCGTTGACCTTATCGCTGGGGTCAGGGTACAGAACCTCTAGAGGTTGCCGAGTGGTTGATGGCTATAGCTATTCGCATCAATAATGGCTCTAACTAATTGGCAGAAGCTCCTCACACACCTGTTTCGCTCCTAGCTGCTCGTCCCTTCTCTTCGGATATTCCCGTTGTAAGGCATGATTTGTACCGAGAAGCCATAAACAGGCAATAATGGCAATTCCAGCAAGGAGGAAAAGCTGGCCACTATCGACCGGAGCCATCACAGTTGCTGCCGGTAGTGACCTAGGCTTGAGACAGCGAGTCTGACAGCCAGCGGCGTTTGGTGTGCGGCTGCAGTATTTGGCTGCACTCTAGAAAGTCCTGCGTCCGCGATGACAGGGCTTATGCAAAGTCTATCGAGGCTCTCCAGTAGAAGACCACAGAAATATAAGAGATTACACTACAACAGAGGGGAGTGGATATTCAGACGGTTTCTTGGAGTAAGTTCACTCCATCAGAGAGAGGGGTTGTGATGAGACTCAGCTGGCCACATGCATATCGTGGCTTAGTATCAGCCAATAACTTCACTTGCGGAAGCAAAAGCATGGTGTTTGAGCACTGTCTGGTGGGGAGTAGTGATAATGTCAAGCCGACCTGTGCAGGACACTTCAGACCTGAAAATTATCTGTTGCTCAATAATGGCAAGAATATAACACGCGTCGAAAGCGAGGCAAAATGGAACAACAACAACAACACGAACAGGTACCTTAACTGTACCTACAGTCAGGCCAGCGGATCTAACGCCTTTGTCTTCTTTTATGCAGCCTCCTGACTCTCCTCCGTTCTCGGTTCGACTTCTGAATGCCAACGACGACAACGGCTGCGCGTCTCAGCCCGGAACTAAGGAGCTCCTGTCAGCCTTCCCCGCGTCTTATCGCACCGAAGCCGATCATCTAGTTTCCCCGAGCAATAATGTCGTGGGCTGCGTCGAAAAAGAGCTTGACCTGCAAAGATTGGTTAAGGTGGTCGACTGGCTCTGGATCGTGGGTCGGCCCATGCCGCCTCGCCCGCTCCACCACCAGCTCCTTCTAGGCCGGGAGATCTTCATCACAGAACGAATGGACATGCATCTTGTCTGGACACGGAACCGGATCTTCCTTAAACCAATCCCACGCTTCCTGCTTGAGCCAAGCTTTTGGACCACGTATCTTAGCCACAGCAAGGATTGCGAGTGCTTGCACAGCGGGGAACACGCACATTCCCCCGGAAGCGCCCAGCAGTGCACTCGTCAGAAGTTGTGGAGATCCGCGCTCGGCTTTCTCTTCTCATACGCCGCTCTAGTCACCCACGAGAGTGACTTTTATATCGCAAAGGACAAGCATCTGCTCCCACCCGATGAGGAGTTCTCATGGCAGGGTTGGAGGACGCTCGTTGAACAACTACGTACAGATTCCATCTACCATAGAATCAACCCCCGTTTCATCTACGGAGAGCTGCGTCTGAGCCGACTCAATAAGATATATCGTCTCTCCCAACGGCCCTTTCTGCGCAGCTACATGTCCCACTGGCACCAGTATGGCACCTTTTTCCAGGAAAACTTCCAATGGCTTGCGTCAGGGATAGTGTACATCGCTATCATCCTTAGCCCCATGCAAGTCGGGCTGGCGACAAAGGCTCTCTCTGGTAACGATGAATTCCACTCGGCCTCGTACGGGTTCGCTGTGTTTTCCATTCTGGGTCCTCTGGCAGCCACGGGCTTTATCACCCTTGTGTTTTGCTATATGTTTGTTAACAACTTGATTGTGGCGATAGCTTACAAGGAGAGAAGGTTCCACGAGATCCGAGTCAGCTCTGGGGGTCATGAAGTCCCCAGTGAAGTGTTTCCTGCCATGGGGCCCAGAGATTCGAAAAGCTAGATAGCACTGCTGGGTTAAAACTCGCAATCTAGGCAATACATTTCCGGATATGTATGTATTTTCATTTTCCGGATCTATAACAAAGAATCCATTTCTGGAAACCACAAGTCCATTATTAATGAGTCCCTTGTACGTATTTATCTGGGATCCTTGGTCGATAATTAATGGCTAGACATTGTATTGACACATCAATACTGAGCAGCATCAGGAATGGGAGACAGAATATAATTTTGATGCAATGAACTAGTCCCGCCCTACAGCCATTATACACTGTGCTAGAGTACAACTAGGCAACTAAACCCCAAACATCCGAGACGTCAATGATACGTAATCTTCATCTCAGTCGACATGATAATCCCCTCCTGGCTGTCGCTCTTCCCATTCGGCCGTACAGTGAGACTCTCCACGTCCTCGTCCCGAGGACTTTGCGTCCCCATTGTCGTCAGGTAATCCCAGTTCCGGATGCCCTTCTTCTTCTTCTTGGACCCCGTGTCCTGCATGTTATAGCTCTCGTCGGTGTGCTTATCCCCCCCGCTGGAATTCTTCGTTCCAGCCAACCGAGGGAACACCCGCAGCAGCAGCGGCCGCAGGACAGGCAGACAGGCGCAGATGATGCCCACGTTGATCTCGACCATTCTGTTATTGTTAGCATAGCCCTTGGAACAAAAGGGAGGGAGACGTACGCCCACTTGGCCAGCGTGACCTTGTACCATGTGAAATCCATCGAATGCACAAACGGCATCATGGTCACAATCCGCACAATGGCAATCACGCACGCGAAGGAACCCATCGCCAGCACCAAGCACAACAAAACCTTCTGCTTCAGCGTCGTCTGTAGCGACCAGCACAGCTTGATTGGCAGGATGAGCGTCATCAGATCAGACAGCAGATTGAACGCCGCGTTGGCGTACACGAACGCCAGCTGGTCGACGCACTTGGCTGTGGCCATTTCTGTAATGTCCCACATGGCAGTAACCGGGATGCAGCCGCAGGTGAAGACGAGGATGCTGATGAGCGAGTAGATGAAGACAAAGGCCATGATGCCGTAGGTCCATTGGCGGAAGCGGCGTTCTGGGTTCAGGCGGAGGTAGAAGAGGAGGATGGAGGTTTTGACGAACCAGATGCCGAGGGCGAAGATGTCTTCTGCTGCGAGGTCGTTCTATTATTGTCAGTTGGGGTCTGTAGAGTGTGGAGTAATTGAGCAAGGTACCTGTTTAAAAGGCTTGAGTTTGACGAGGTACAGGTCCCAGATGTGCACGCCGTAGCCGTTTTGGATGTCTACTTCGTTAGTTTTGATCATGTCAATGGAGGGAAAGACGTACTGGCAAACCCGAGGATGGCAAAGATCCATGCGCAGACCTGCGCGGCGATACAGAACCCTACTCAGTCAGCATCATTAACCATCAGTCGAAGGCATGACATACAGTCATCGATAGCAACCGTCCGCAGGATCACGCCCCGCGTGTACATCCGAAGCGCCAGCACAAATGTGCCTGTCAGGCACATCGCAATGTTGATCGAGTAGATGTCATAGTCGGACCGCTCGGGGTTCTCGAAGTTGGGCGTCACGCCCGGTGGGGGAGGGAAGGCGGGCGTCTTGCTTGGATCCATGGTGGCTGCAGTCAACGAATTGAGGAGACTGAATGGATAAAGCTGAAGTTGTGTAGGTTTGATGGAGGAGCTTGATTCGGGAGGCTTTTTCGGTTTATATGTTGGAGTTGACCCCTTTGTCTCCTGTTGTGCTCAAAAAGTACGATCGACCGGAAAGTGATATATCTCATGTTTTTCGATCTCTGTTTAATTATTGACAGAACTATGCAGCTATGTACAGTCCATGTAGTGCGACATGTCAGATGCATCGACCACTGTTAATATCTCCAATGCACCTAGCTAGTAGTTCCTGCGAACCGATCCTACCTGTAACGTATACAGCGGAGAGCTGTCAAAAAACGCCATCTTCGTATCCTGAGACGCCTTGTTTTTGCTTCTTCAAGCGCGTGACGATCCAATTCCCGGTCTAACTGTAGCATATGAGGTATCAGGCGTTGGCGATCACTATCAGTGCAGCAACACTATTCAAGCCCTTGCAGACGAAGCATAACAGAGTACCCATCCAAGCGAGGCAAATCGCTCGAAAGGAAGCATTGATCAATCGGACGCCATCCGCAAGACAATGCTTGCTTCTCCGATCTTGCCTGCATTATCTACGTATCTACTTTTTAGAGACAAGGTTGCACGACAGATCCGGTGCAGGGGGTTGGATAATATGCAGATAGGAACCCAGTACGGAACAGTCTAAGCTGCAATGACCTGTAGAATTGTCTAAGTGGCGACCATTATCTATTGTCTTTTGCCTACGGAAGCAGTGGGAATCAACAGCGGATTAGGCATTCAATCTGCAAGCTCCTGGACCTGTTTTTGGGTAGGGCGCAGACAAGTACTACGACTAGGCGTTGTGGCCGTTTCACAATAGCATTGCTTTTTAGACATACTCTGTAATACTGCCATATTGTCGCTCAGTCGTTATCTATCAGTTACCAAGTAAATGTCAGTTCCCTCTGCAGGTCATCATCGACGGCCTTATTACTTAAACAGGAATATTAGTGTATGTGACGACTCACATAGACCGTTCCGGCCATAAAGCAATAACTGGAAAGCAATATATGACAGGGTGAAAACTCGCTTGGGCCAGCCGATCTTTGACTATCCTCCTATTAGAACATGGACATGGTTAAAGAGACTCTCGGGGAGTCCCAAGCAAGTGTCCCAAGCGGAGAATAAACTCATCTAGTTATGCAGCCGGGTGCGCGGCGCAATTCCCGGCCAATGAAGCCCTTCGTAGAGACAAGCACAGACAGAACGGCGGGGAGAAGGAGGAGACGATTGTGATGCATCACATTAGCGACGGCAGCATCCGTGATGATTGGCGGAGGGAGAACTGAAGCCATTCCCCGCTTATACTCGTCAATATTATAAGAAGTACCGCTGCACCGGGTGTCGCAGATGATATGTATCAAATATTTGCAGAAAAAGCAGACAGGGATTGATCTTGAAAATGGGCAGCACCGAGAACAACATCGACGCCATCCAGAAGGATCTGGAAGAGGTCGTCAATGCCACCAATACATACAGGACCTCAGACAATGATTACAATGCCCGCTATGACTTGATGGTCAAGGCCACGCGCCTGCTGCAGACCATCCGTGGTCCGGTCGATATGCTCTTTACCAATTTTGAGAATGTGCGTACCTGCATCTTTGTATGCGAACCAACTGATGAAAATAGATGGCTAGCATGGGCGCCCTCCGTACCCTTCTCGAAGCCGGCGTATTCCATGCCATTCCCACGGGCGGACAAAGCATCTCGGCCAAAGAGATATCCGCCAAGACCGGAGTCGACAAGGAGATGATTGGTACTATCCCTTAAGCCACAGAAAGAAGCAAGCTGACGAGAAAGTCCGACTGATGCGCGCCCTGACGCCCCTCGGCCCCTTCCGCGAAACCGGCGAGGAGGAGTACGCCCACACCCCATTCTCCGAGATCTACATGGCGCCACAGATGAACGCCATCTTCAAGGTGTTGTACGTCTTCAAGCGCTCTTATTATTTATTCCACTCAGCGTAGATGCTTAGTGATTGACAGGATTGACGAGTACTTCCCGCCCATGCTCCGCAACCACGAATTCCTGGCCAAGCACAACTGGAAGAACACCATGACGCTGACCGACAACCCCTACACGCACGTGCACAACTGCACCGGGCAGACCATGTTCGACTACATCTCCCAGTTCCCCGATCGCCTGAGCCGGCTCAACGACGCCATGATGGCGCAGGACTCGGCGCTTGTCGTGCACGGTCTGTACCCGTTCACGCAGGAGCTGGGGGCTCTGGCGCGCGACGACGGCGTGACAATTGTTGATGTCGGCGGTGGACGCGGCCATATCCTGCGACAGATTCGCGAGACTGAGCCGGATCTCAAGGGCCGGTTTATCCTGCAGGATCGGCCTATTGTGATTGAGGAGAATGGGCGAGAGCTGGAAGCTCATGGCATTGAGCCCATGGCGCATGATTTCTTCCAGGCGCAGCCTGTCAAGGGTTCGTCACGCTTATTCCTGTCTTTTTAATACCTGGGGAACTGACAGATTATTTAGGTGCCTTGGTTTACTACGTCCGCCGGGTGTTCCACGACTGGCCCGATGATGAGGTCCGACAGATCCTGGTGAATCTGGCGGCGGCAATGGGGCAGCACTCGCGCATCTTGATTGTCGAGTTCATCGTGCCTGAAGTCGGAGCGACCATGTCTAATGCTTACATGGACCATACGATGATGACCTTTGCGGGTGTCGAGCGGACGGAGAAGAACTTTGCTACCCTGTTGGACCAGGCTGGGTTGAAACTGGTCAAGACGTGGAGGGCGCCTGGGGTTCCTGTGGGAGTTGTCGAGGCCAGATTGAAGTAACTGTGTCTATGAGTAGTTTATATAATCTATTAGCCTTTTCAGAATACTACGATGTGAACGATTGCATGCAGTTACGTACAGAGCACAGACTGCAGAGGACTTAAATTGTTGCACATGGCCCGGGGAATGTTACATGCAAGGGGTATCCTGCCCCTGTCAGCTATGCACATGGCTCGAAGTCGTATCATCGCATGCAATTTCCGATTGAAGCCCAAGCTAACGTAAGCGAGATGGCTTTGATGGTTACCTAGATATTCTGTCTGATGTATGTAAGAGCGGTGGAAATTATGTGGCGCATGATCGGTGCAGATGGTCAGGCACAAAACGCACATGCCGGCATTGGTCTCGGTTGATAACCGCTGTAAACTTCCATTGATCCGATGAAGAGTAGCTAATTTATTACGAGTCAGTTGCTAGTCTGCTGCTAGTGCTTTGTGACTGCTACAGTAGCAGCACTACTGGGTAGATAAAGAGGGGAACAATATAAGTTTATTAGATCAAGGTTATATTGCTGGATCCGAGACACGCCGCTAGTCTATCCATCCTTCATGCTTATCTTTCTGCAGGTACATTTAATTCGTCACCCCTGACAATATCACACTCCACACTCCTACTGTTGCAACTGATGCTATCAAGAGGTTGCTTACTCTCAGCATCCTCTATCTCATATCATGCGACATCAATATCTGCAAATCAAGCATTATAGTCTCCTGTCAGGAATGGGGCTGGCATTCCCGGGGATGGCTGACACCTTGAGGCCACCAATATGCCACAGTCACATTCCTCACTCTCAGTCATGGTTTCATACCGTAGGATGCATGCAGTCTTAGAGGCAGTTGTCAAGATATAAGAATCAGAGCCCAGAGCACTCTGGATCTGCCTTTACATCATCCGATCATCTTCCCTGTTTTGTGCTCGATCTGGTATTCTGTAAACATCATCATGGCTCTGTACAAACTCGGTCTCTGGACAAGCCTTTTGGCTACATTCCACACTGCCTCTGCCAAGTTGAACCTGAACAGCCAGTCCAACATTGCCATCTACTGGGGTATGCTCTTTCCTACACACTCTGCCCTCCGTGTCTGATAGAATAGGCCAAAATTCCCATGGAGCATCCACCGGTCTCGCTGCACAGCAAAGACTGTCCTACTATTGCCAGAGTAAGTCACCACAACCTATGGCCGTCACACTCACTAACCGCCTAGACGCCGATTTTGATGTTTGACTCCTCTATCCACCTCAGCCCTACGCCCCACCTAACTGTCAACAGGTCTACCAACTCGCGTTTGTCACCAGAATCAGCGGCACCGGCGGTGTCCCCGAAGTCAACTTTGCCAACGCAGGCGACAACTGCACCACGTTTGCCGGCACAAACCTGCTCAGTTGTCCTCAGATAGAGTATTCTCCCATCATCCTTCTCTCACAATTGCAACAACTAACAACCAACAGAGAAGATATCCCAATCTGCCAATCCCTCGGCAAAACCATCCTTCTCTCCATCGGCGGCGCAACCTACACAGAAGGCGGCTTCACCAGCGACTCGGCCGCCATCGCAGGAGCCAACAGTCTCTGGCAGACGTTCGGCCCTGCTACCAACGCCTCCACCCTGCGCCCCTTCGGCAAAGCCGTCATCGACGGCTTCGACTTTGACTTTGAGTCCACCGTCTCCAACATGCCCACCTTCGCCAACCAGCTCCGCTCCCTCTTCCAGTCCGACACCTCAAAGCAATACTACATCACCGCCGCCCCTCAATGCCCCTACCCCGACGCCGCCGACGGCCCCATGCTCAACGGCGCCGTCTCCTTCGACGCCATCTGGGTCCAGTTCTACAATAACTACTGCGGCCTGCAGGCCTACGTCCCCGGCTCATCATCCCAGAATAACTTCAACTTCGCCACCTGGGATACCTGGGCCAAGACCGTCTCGCTCAATAAGAACGTCAAGGTCTTCCTCGGTGTGCCGGGTAGCTCTACCGCCGCAGGCAGCGGGTATGTTTCTGTCGATACGCTGGCGGGGATCATCTCGTACGTCAAGGGCTTCTCGTCCTTTGGCGGTGTCATGTCCTGGGACGCGAGCCAGGTTATGGCCAATAGTGGGTTCTTGCAAGGGGTGCGAGCAGCGCTAGGTTCGGGGTCGGGATCGAGTACGAGTTCGACTGTGAGTTCTACTTCTTCGACTACGTCTACTTCCACCACCCCTACTACAACTACGTCCAGCACGACGAGTGTCCCAACGACCTTGACGACTGCGACCTCGACCACGACCACGACGAGCACGACGGCAACTCCGACCGGTAGCTGTCCCACGGCTGGCGGGGCATGTTCGGCGGGAGCGTCTGGGTGCAACGGGGCGAATTTCGCGCTTTGTGATAATGGCAAGTGGGTGATGCAGTCATGTGCCGCCGGGCTGGTTTGTATCCAGGGTGGAGGGAGTGTGTACTGCGGGCATCCGGCGGATAAGGCTGCGGGGGCTTGTTGAGTTGCAGATGTTTATGCTTGTCTTGCCTTGCACATATTTGATTGGTTGTCTATACGTAACAATGCACTCTATTTCAGGGATAAGGCTCGTGCCATCCGTGTGGTATGCTGCGGATGGGGGCGTATTATGTCGTTTCTGGTAAACCCTAGTGGTAGGATATGAGAGCTGGACTGGCACATTCCCTCAGTAGTAGCCGATGCGCTTTGGATCATGTGCGTCCATCATCCGACGGCTGACGGCGGTACTGGGGCCAAGTAATCGAGGCTTGATTGCTAGGCTCGATGCAGCAAATGTGAAGTGGCTGTCTTACTAAATCTGTTTCTCTGTATGAGAAGACTAAGTGTTATAAAGTAGAGTCAGTATATTATATGTCTCTTTGGTCTTTGAGACATAGAATATTATATCTCTGTTACTGCATTATCGTCTCTACTAGCTAGAAATAGCTGTCTGGACACCACTTTAACTCAGTGTATAAGTATATATATGACTAAGAATATAGGTAGACTGCCGGCGGGCTCGCTAAGGTCTGGTGATTTACCAGGAGGACATCGGGAAACGGGCCATAAGTATAACTTAACCAGTTACTTATAAAGCTTAGTCTTAGCCTATTTCCGAGCCGTAGAAGATCTGGAACCCTTCGATAGCTTATAAAGTGGAGCTTACAGACTATTGCAATACGCCCCAGAAAGTCTACTTCTGGTTGGTTGACATACGTATATACATAGTACTCGACTACTGCCAGACATCATGCCATTAGACGTGCAGCAACACAACGCCGATCGAGAGTCTTTGATCAGGGACTATAACTGAGGCAGTACCACTAGGCAGTCTACAGTCATTGGCCAACTTCAGTCAGGATCACATTGGCCTTGCAAATAAGGGATTAGCGGCTGCTGCGTTGGCCTTGTCAGTAGTATCCCCGCCCAGAAAGCTTGATCGGGTTTGATTGGAGCCATGTAGAACTTTATGCCTCAGCAATTACTATCTGAGTTGATATTGGCTGTCCCAGTCGGGGATGACGTACAAGGATCTCTCCTACAGTGCTTGCTAGTCCAAGTCCAATAGACAGTCCTATTAGCTGCGGCACTAATTTACTGTCGCTGTTAGGAGGGGTAACTCATGATTCCCGTGATTACTGAGACACTATAAAGCAGGAAAAGTTCATACGATGAACACTTGTACATAGGTCTTTTCTCTATTTAAACCAGGCCCTTGGGAAACAGCCTATTATCAACCAAGTTAGCTTTTCTTGCTTATTTTTAGCAAAAATGAGGTCGATACAGGAAGAAGCGCTACAGCGAGAAGCAAATGATGCCGCTCGTAGTGGCAATGCATCCGAACTCCGTGACTGTCTGACCCGTGGCGCGACTGTTTGGGAAGATGCTGTGGTCTTGCTAGCGCTGGAGAGTGGTGATATCCCGACATTCCAGACTCTGCTTGATTTCGGCGTGAGCATCAATGAAGACATGCATTATATGGGCACCCCCTTAATCTCGGCCTTGCGACATCATCATCACGCACTCTTGGAATTCCTCTTTTCAAAGGGTGTTGATCCCAACAAAGGCAACTGGGGGCACTGGCTACCTCCCCTGTCAGTGGCTGTGCGGTTCACAAAGGATATCAAATGGGTGCAGCGTCTGTTGGATGCTGGTGCTAAGATTGAAGGAACTGGCGCCCTGCATATTGCTGCATTTCGAGGTGACCTGGCAAGAATGAAGCTCCTTTTGGATCATGGGGCGGATGTCAATGAGATTACATACTTTCGGGTTATTGCATTTCTCGACTATAAGAGAAAAGGAACACCTGTCCATTGGGCAGTTGCAGGCGGCCATCTTGGGGCGGTGCGACTTCTATGTCGGTACGACCCTGACCTCTATATCCAGGATGAAGATGGCGTTACAGTCATGGACCGATTGGATTCTTTCTTTGCTGAACTGGCCGCTGCCTGAGAGAACCGTGCTAGCTGCTGGGAAATACATGTGTTTGGTACAAGTTTGGTGGAGAGACCGGATGTGCTAGCGATGAAGGTTGCCTTGAGAACTATATCTACCCTACACGGTGCCCTTCCTGGCTCATTTGTGTTACCATTTGAGTATACTATCATCTACTCCTAACTTGCTTCTCATCCAAAAGCTCATTCTTATATCCTTAACTCTATGATGGCGCAAAGCAATCGGCAAATGGTCTACAGCTTTCTGCTATATTTTATCTTCACCCTTTGGATAATATCAAATACCAGTCTAGACCGCTGTCTCCTGTTGTTGCCAGGAAACCCATGCAGTCGAAGTGATACACCATAATGCAAAATTTGCATGGATGCTGCAAAATGTGCATGGCTGGCAAAGGTAGCAGTGGAAGAGAGTTCACGCTGATAAGCTCTTATAGGAGCGGACAGGGAAATCACTACGGTATTCCCTGGATATCAACGGACTGGCGGGGCAATGGCCCAGTCCATCATGTGCCGTCGTTGCTGCAGGATTTGACTGATTTTAGGAGGGAAAGTACGCCTGCGGCGTCTCGTGCAATTCGATCTGAAATTAGGAAATCATCAGGGGTTCTGCCGCCGAGACACTTCTAGGCAACATTCATACTACTCTGTATGAAACACGTGCATGGAAAGGTTTGGAATCATAATTCGTCTGCAGGTTTGTGGTGATCATCCGGAACGGGCCGTATCCACAGTTGCCATGATGCCCGCCTTGCTGACACCGTTGTTGGATAGTTTTCTAACGCCGACTCAGCATGATTCGCTCGTTACCCGTTGTGTCGAATAACGCAATGGACTTGTCGGAGCCATCGTCCTACTGCTCAGACTGGCAGCATCCTCCGGTGTGTTCAGCAGAGGTTTCAAGTGAGAAGACTTCTTGAAATGAGAAACATCTCGCCCACCTCATCATAACTCCCCATCGAGGAACGGAGAGGTCCGTAGGAAGCCTGTCTCAACTACCCACGCAAAATTCATGGGTTGCAGATTTACTGTTTCTCGCGATGTGGGATACTTCCGCTGGCTCTCCTACTGGCTAACTAAACGCCGCTGGCTAGCTCTTTCATTGGTCATCTGATGTTGGGAACTTGGGCGTCTATAAAGGTCGCTCAGCCGCACGATTTCCTCCCAAAAGTCATGAATGTTGAGCTCACCTGATGACCGCGCCATCCCTCTCCCAAAAGGAAAAGAAAGAGGAGCAACTAAAAATAATTTAAATTAATAATGGGCCTCTTTTCCAAGATAAGAGAGGTGCGACAGAAGAAAAAGACCAGCGGATTGAAGGGAAGCGCCGGGCTTCCCTCTCCGACCGCAGGGCCACCAGCGTCTGGGCCTGCTAAAACTTCCTTAATCCCTACGTCCACTGTACAGCCTCCCCGGCAGGTCGAGTTGTCTGCTCCACTGCCTCCGAATGCCACTCCCGCCTCACCGGAACCCTCTACTCAGCCAACCGCTTCTGACGCGACCCCTCTCCCCCGGAGCGACTTCGAACCGTGGACTCGGGCTTACGAGATATTGCAGACCCGAGAGCCCGAGTTGATAGAAGACTACAAGAAGCACTTGGGCTCCCTGCAACGTGATGGTGCAACTGACGCAGACCTCTCAACTCCCCGGTCGGTTGAATCAATCGTGAAGCAGCTGTTAGACGATCGGGAGAAGAAGCAGTGGCGAGTATCATTACTGGTGAAGGAGGTAAAGATACGAGAGCAAGCCGAGAGGTTGGTGAAGTTCCTCCTCTGGTCTGACCCGGTAGTCAAGAACGCTCTCAGTGCTCAGCCATACGCTGCGTTGGCATGGTCCGGTGTTTCATTGGTTCTCCCCGTAGGTCAATGAATGTCCGACTACCAGGCTAATACTGACTTTACCAGCTACTCATGAGCGGCGTTACAAAAAATGAGGCTATGTTGAGAGGTTTCAATCTGATTGGCGATGTCCAAGTCTACTGGGATATCTGCGAAAAGACGTATCTCAGGTCCTCACATCAACAAAATTACCAAGACCTCATAGAACCCTTAGCCAAGGTCTATTCGCACATCATTGAATATCAGGCGCTCGTCATATGCCATCTCTCTAGAGCTCAACTCTCCCGTGCATGGCAGAACGTGGCTGGTTGGAATGATTGGGATGGAAAAGCAGCAAAGATTGATGAATTGAGCAAACAATGCAGTAGCTACATTTCTCCTCTCGAAGCAAAGGAACTCCGCCAGAATAGGGACAGTCAACTGCGACAGATGCAGGAGTCGCGGACCATCCTTGATGAAATTCGGATGGTTCTGGAAGCGGATAGTAAACTGACGCGGAGGAACTATGAAGACCAGAAGGAGCGAGATCTTCTTCAAGATCTCGCAGCGGACTATGAAGGCTACAAAGACTTCAACCCAACGAGGGTCCAGGGCACATGCGAGTGGTTCTTCAAGGACGACAGATTCCGCAAATGGCGGGACAGCAACACTTCTGGTCTCCTCTGGGTCTCTGCTGACCCTGGTTGTGGAAAGTCGGTCTTGTCGCGGGCTCTGATCGACGAGCGGCGACTGTCTACGAATGTCACAACATCGACTGTCTGTTATTTCTTTTTTAAGGACGGAGATGAACGCCGAATGTACGCTACTAATGCTTTGTGTGCAATACTCCACCAGCTTTTCACGCATGATCCCGCTAGTGGCCTGATAGGACATGCACTTCCTAGCCATAGGAACTATGGCAAAGGTTTAGCCCAAAACTTTTCCGAGCTGTGGCGAATCCTCATGGACTGCGCCGACTCACCAGATACTGGAGAAATTGTTTGCGTCCTTGATGCCTTGGACGAATGCAGTGAGCATAGCAGGCGGCAATTAATTAAAAAGCTGAAGGAGTTCTATTGCCAGCCCTCACGTCCAGCCAATCCACTCTCAAAGCTCAAGTTCCTGATCACCAGTCGCCCATATGACGACCTGGAGAGATCTTTCAAAGGATTCTCTGACACCACCGCGTATCTGCGTTTTGACGGCGATGAAAAGTCTGCGCAAATCAGCAAAGAGATCAATCTAGTCATTGATGCCAAGGTGGATGAAATTGCTCGTGATTTCGAGGAGGGTGACCGTCGAAAGATTTCTGAACAACTAAAGAGCATGGAAAACCGTACATACCTCTGGTTAAAACTCACATTCGACATCATTGAGCAGAGTCCGACTGAATATGGCAGGCGATGTGATGTGGAAACACTCCTCTCTGATCTGCCGTCCGAGGTATCTCAAGCATACGAAAAGATCCTGGGCCGAAGCAAAAACAAGATTAAAACAGAGACTCTCCTTCAGATCGTTCTGGCTGCGGCACGGCCTCTGACACTTGATGAAGCTAACGCAGCCTTAACGCAAGCTTTGCAGAAGCTACGGTTTATTTCTTATACTGAGCTGGAGTCAAGTCTATGGTCCCCAAAGGTCTTCAAGAGCATTGTGAAAAATCTATGCGGTCTCTTCATCAGCGTCTATGACTCGAAGTTTTCCTTTATCCACCAGACAGCGAGGGAGTTCCTCATCCATCCTGAACGAAAAGGCAAATGGCAAGGGCGGCTGAATATGTCAAAGTCGCACGGTAAAATGTCACTGGTCTGCCTCGCATATTTGTCATATCTGGACGGGCAGAGCCCAGTCACGGAAATCAAGGAGCAATTTCCGCTGGCGCAGTATTCCGCGCGGTACTGGATGGATCACGCAAGGCATGCCGAGACTCAGAAGGACGTCCAAGAAAGCATCTTGAACTTCTTCCAGCAAAGGGAAGCGTATGATGTCTGGGGAGATCTTTTTGACCCGGATCGTCTTGGGGATGAAGAACCGCGGCGATGTGTCAAGATGGCCACTCCATTATACTACGCATCCTTAGCAGGTCTCCAACGTACGGTAGAACTACTGATAGAGAAAGGCGCCGATGTGAATGCGCAGGAGGGCCGTTATGGCTATGCTCTGCAGGCTGCTTCTCAGGGGGGCTATAAGGAGGTGGTGCAGCTACTGCTGGAGAAAGGTGCTGAGTATGGTAATGCTCTATAGGCTGCTTCTAGTCAAGGCCATAAGGAGGTTGTGCAGCTACTGCTAGAGAAGGGTGCTGACATGAGTGCGCTGGGCAGCCATTACTTAGAAAGACCAATCCTATGATCGGTATGGAAATCAGACTGCCCATTAGTCACTTATATTTTCTAGTCTATATCCAAAACGTAGGTTTAGGAGGAGTGATAAATTTATAGTTTTCATTTTATCAACTGGATTCTCGAGATTTCCGGCATTTTTAACTCCCAAAAACATGTTGGTCCCAACTAGTCACCAGGTAAGTGAGGTTCACTGGGGCACTGAGCACATCCCCTAAGGCCTATCTCTTGCTGCGACTTTGTATCTCCGGCATTACACTCGGGATCTCTGTCACCTGACTGCCATGAAATTCCTGCTGTAGGACCACTGTGAATCACGTCTCCGTGGAGTAACTAACAGATTGGACTAGTGGCCTTATACTCACATTTATTGAGCGCGAGGAACTACTAAGAGTTGGATGTGAGAGCATGATGATCTATAGCAGCTTCGTCGAGTTTACAGTATATATGACATTTTCTGGGTTGTACGCTTGCTTTGGTAGAGATGCTAAGAGCAGGACAGGTCAATCTCGAGTATTTTTTAGCTAGTATATATGTGACGCCCAACGGCGCTCGGAGAAAAGGTACGGGGAAAGGCACAATGGCATCTCAATTCCTTGACTCTGCAGCGGAGAAGGGTCAGTCCAGTATTGCGAATCATGAAGCACTTTGGAGACCCGGGAGAAGCAGGGGATCATCATAACAAGAAAGGGACGAACATATAACCTTAATAGTAAAAAGGTTCTAAGTGCCAGCCATCATATCTTAGGATCTTGAACCAATCAAGTTGTAGAGTCTCAGGTATTGGGAGGAGCAAGGCTGAGGCTATGCTCCTAGTCATCCCTCACAGCCACTTAATACCACTCTTTTTGACTCCATCTCTTTCTTCATGTCTTCATCTGTCTATCTAAACAAAGCCTAATAATCACCAAATATGAATAATATACTTTGAATTCATTTGGACTGCAAAACAACTCATGGTTGACGTTTGGTAGCAAGGTCCCCTCCTGAGCCGCCATGTCGGATCCGCTGTCGGTGGTAGGAAGCGCTGCTGGAATCATCTCTCTCGGTATCCAGGTCATCGACAACATCATCATTTACTGCGACTCATGGAAGAGCTACGACAAGGATATCAGAGATCTTGCCCACAAAGCCAGTGGCCTATCAAAAACCTTGAAACACCTCGAGGATGTCCTTCAAGGTCGGCAGAATTTTGACTCGTTGTCTCAGAAGCAGATTGAAGACTTGATGACTGCGAGTAAAGTCACGATTGAGAAACTCAAAGAGATGACAGGCAAAATACCTTTTCCATCTGGTGGTTCGAAATCGGCCTTCGCGAAACGTGCACTCTATCCACTGCGGAAGCACACGTTGGTCGATGCTGCGAGGATGCTGGATAGCTTGCAGGCCAACATCAATACAGCACTGAGTGTGTGAGTCGCAGTATCACTTCCATTCTGATAGTATTAGTCTAATGGAATATGAAGGCTGCTATTACACCAAGGATCGGTGGCACAAAACGCTTTGACGCAAGACCTTCATATACGACATTCCATTCTTCAACATAAGCTTGCGGAGCAAAATGCTCGGCTCGAGAGAATGGTAGTCCCTTTACCTTTCGTGCTGTACTGAGCTAATATCAGGTGCAGGAATCTATGATCAGGCATTTGGTTGATAACAGACTTCAAGTGGCGCCAAGTCTGCTACGAGCGGTGCAAGATGAGAATTGCTATGCAGAGGCAGCGCTAAAAGGAGACCGCACAATGTGTCAGTCGACCTTTGCCCAGAATGTCCAAAGGTCTCCCGCAACAGCTGCGAACCATTCACCTGTTTGCGTCTGCCAAAATCTCAGGAACCAGTCCCAAGTCCTTAAAAAGAAGTTGCAGCTATGTAGCAGATTTTTGAGTTTCTCAATAACACTGACATTGTCAATAACCAAGGGAGCTGGTGGCTGTTCAATCAGTCCTACGCTGACCTACCAAGGAATCACCCCATATGGATTCAAGGAACTGATGTATGCCTACTTTCGCGACACAAGAAAAGGCGAAGGAACATACTCCGAGTGTTGCCACTACCTCATTCAGAACAAACTTGTTCGGCCGTCGGACATCGAAGCAGATGGGAGCACGATGTTGGATGTGAGGTTCTCCCACGGTACATAGACGGAGATTCTTGCTGATAATAAAGGATGAAGACTACTTTTCTTCAGATACTTACTGACTTGACCCTTACCGGCTGGAATTCGAAACTCGACGCTTTTCAAGAACCCATGAGATACTTGATTGGTGCGGGAGTGCCTGTAAGCATGGGAAGATATGGTACCTTCCTCGACTTCTTCGTAGGAAAAGCGGGAACGACTCAATCCTCTTACGGTCTGATATCAGAGCTCATTGATGCCGGAGGCTATATCACGGACAACGCTGTGACCCCTATCAATCAAGGCGCTATCCGTTTTATAATATCCCACCACCCTGAGGGTAAGCATCGTCACCTTCCAAGTACGTCAGGCCCTCGCTGATGTCAAAGCTGTCTTTCTTTCTCCTCTGGCGCGTCTCCTTATTCAGGGAGACGAAGACGGACTTGCAAACCTGGTAGCGCGCAGGCAGCTGACTGGGACTCACCTCATTGGAAACTGGTCCGCACTGGAGCTCGCTATCGACTGGCCCGCAGGGGTAAAGATCCTTCTTGGGATAACAGATGTCATCCCTAGAGATGTGATCTATTCGGCCATTGGAGCCAACTGCCTCGGCTCGTTAAGTCTTTTACTCGAGGCAGGCGTACCTTTTCACGCGGACCATATTGCATATAGTGTTCGTTATGCGAGTGACAAAGTGACAGACCTCCTGGTTGACGAGTTGATCGTTAGACGAAAGCGACTACGTGACTTTGCGATGAGTACTCTTCCCGAACATGTATGCCGTGATCTGGGATTGACAAACCACTCTCTACCCGATCTGAATGCGTTCAAAGTCTACGAAACACTTCAAAGAAAAGGCATAATTAGAGAAAGAAGACTGGATCCGTGGAGGGCCCGACCTTATATTCGAGGACCCGACTCTCAGCCAAAACTCGAGGATCATTATGACTCCGTCTTCCATCAAGTTGGGCTGTCCTGTCAGGTTATGCAAAAGCTGTATGATGCTGGCTTGACCGATATCGACACGCCTGACACGGATGGACGGACACCGTTGATGTGCACAACCGAAGCATTGTCGCTAGGTCCATTTCTGGATAGAGCCAGATGGCTGATTTCGAAAGGTGCGAATCCTAACCGGCTTCTGCCGGGCACAGCTACTCCCACAATGCACAAAATCGTCAGCACCAGCATGGTTCTGATTCAGGATCTCGCTTTTGTCGCTTCGAAAGGAGTGATACCCCAGTATGTGGATATCCAACTCGCATGCATAGATCGGGAAAATCGAGCATTTCTGATAAAGGCAATCACGGAGAACAAGCACGATGGCTGCAGGTGCGCTTGCTCAAAGGATGGATGCACGCCACTCTCAGTCACTTTACGAAACCTAGCGAGAACCTCCTTGGGGAACTCAGCGGAACTGGCACTTCACATTGCATTGAATCTGCTCCAGCTCGTACCCCCATCCTCTGATGTAGCCGAAACATTTATTCGACTGATGACCTTTGAGGATCTGGACCTCGCTCACACCTGCTGTGATTGGGATGATGAAGCCGAATCTGTCCAATTTCGTCAAGATCCAGATGTCATAGAAAAAGAGCAAGAAGAGGCGATTCATGCATTCGAAGAATTAGTTCAAGGATTCATGGACCAGTACAACAGGCTCGGTCTGCCTCTGGTGGAATTTCTGCGACAACATTGGTGCGTACGGATGCAGGATTATCTCCAAGGGCAGACTCCCTCCGACGAAGAGTTAGGCCAGATAAAAGAGCTCGGTGTCGAAATTCTCCCCGGTTTACCATTCACATCGAACTCGTGGTGCGTTTTGATGCAGCCGAAGATCACGGAGATTGTCAATACCTAGACTCCTCTAGTCGTACCGGAAGAGACCGAGAATTCCGTATGGCGTTTCTAACCGCCAGCAGGTCCCAGTTATGGAATGGCCTACATAAGCACCTCACAATACACTTCATCATAAGTCATAAGACGATGGCATTCGTAGCTAGCAATCCCATTGCCCCAGTCGTCACCATCTCATCACCATCACCATTCATAGCCAACCCCAGTATGCAAAGCATCTCAGCAAGGACACAGCCAATCCACCGCCAAAAACAAAGTATCCAGCTCGAAGACCGCATCGCTGACTGCCACATTGCATCGTTACATCTGGCGAGGAGGCTGGCAGTCGTCCATCTGCGAGAGCTATTAGCATCAAATTCGTCTCGAGTATCGCCGAGGGAGGCATACGTGGTAAGGAAGGCAGTAGCACCAGCCGTTTCTGCAACCGAAGTAGCGAGGACAGTCGCCGTTGGCATCGCATCGAGGATGTTTGGTGAGAGAGCCGTCGTTGTCGAGGTCGGTGTCTATGACTCGGTCAGCAGGTTTAAAGGCGTTGTGGGCTGAGGGTGGGAGTTAAGTACTGTCGCCACGAGCAGTGAGGTTTCCATCGACGGTGACGGGAGTAGCGAGGCCGAGGCCGAAGAGGGAGAAGAGGAGGATAGCGTTGAGCTTCATTTTGAGATGGTTGTTGTTGATTGTGGTTGTGGTGTGTTTTGTGTGAAGGTGTGAGGTTGAACGAAAGATGGAGGTTGGAGGATAGAAGGATGGTGAGTGACCAAGAAGAGAGAAGAGATCGATGGGGGAGAAGGGGGTTTATATAGACAGTGCAAGACAGTGATAGTGAATATACAAATGAGAGTAGAAGTGGCTGGAAACGGCATATTCCGTCTACAGATGTTGAAGTGTGAATGATCTTACGGCTTTGCCAAAGTATATCTGCTGGATGCCATTCACCTTTACAGTATAATAATCCTTGTTACCCCTTAAGGCAGCAAAGTATCACCATCTAAGTGGTATCTAATACTAGCTCCTCTGTATCTAACTCTAAACTTCTCAGTTCCACCCATTATACCATCAAGTCCAACATCCCAATCCCCCTCTACACTCTCTCCGCTCAGTTTGTTAGAACCTTATGAATCTGCGCAAGTCGTAGGTCTGTAAAGCCTGTGAGCCAAATCAATACAGTCCAGTGTACTCATCCTCTGGCACGGGACTGCCACTATCAGAGCATACGCGCACTCCCTGACCATCTGACTTTCTAGCCCACCCTTCCCCAATCCCAACGGCAGGATCGTTTGGATCCATTTCCGACGGCAGTGTTTTACGCAGGGGCGATTCTAGTAATAAGCGCATATAATCAGTTACTCTACTAGTCAATTATCAATTAATAGCACAGTGCTTTGTCCCCTAATTTTACGACATTTCCCAATCAGGCAATATAAGAAGTCCATTCAATGAAGTCCATTCAATGATTTAGCGAAAGTGAGACAAGAAACTCCAATATGATCAATCAAACCATAATGAAAAGCAGCATCCATCTCCTTCATCAACCAACACTTACCCAACGTAACTACCTAGTTGCAGGTGCAAACTTTCTTGTCGGAGCACTGTCCACCAGGCTTTCCGATGTAGCTGCAGTGATCCTCACAGCAGAGTCCTCCCCAAGGGTCGGGGAAGCTGCAGCAGATACTGCGCTTATCCAAGGTAACATCTCTGGTATCCACCTTCTTCACAACATCCTCGACACCCATGTTGTTCAGGACCTCACGCAGGGGCTCGTCTCCGTCGATCACCTCGTCGCTGCGCTTGTTGTTGGGGTAGCAGGCGCAGATGTCGTAGCCGGGGCAGCCGTCGCGGGGGAGGCAGCGGCCGCCGTGGGGGTTACCCTGGCGCACGCAGACGTTGTTGCAGGTGGAGTCGCCGCCGAGGAGACAGGAGATGGAGTTATGGCAGAGGGCGGAGGCCAGGGTGGCGCTCGCCAGGAGGGGAGTAATAATGTTGGTGAAACGCATTGTGTTCTTTGTGCTGTTAGTTTGGTAGGAGATTGGACTTGAAGATGCCCGTACCTTGATTGCTTTGGAGAGTGTAGACTTGATAGAGTAGACTTAATAGATTGGGTTGTTCCTTGTCATGAGAAGGCGAGAATGCCCTCGTCGAGGTGCTGCCTTTATACCTCTCTGCCAGCAATCATTACTCCATCCGGTATGTGTAGACTCTCGTATTTACCCTCATGAATTGCCTTGATTCAGTATCCAAGTCTGCTAGATTCCTTGCTGAATGCGTGATGCCTTGACAAAGAGTTTCATCGATGTGACGTTGGGTAGCGCAACCCTCGTATTCAGCCAAAAGCAGTATATCGAAGCCATTCACCTCCTTGCAGACTGCAGCTGAATGACTTTTTGACTCCAAGTATAGAAACATGAGTTTGGGGGCAACATGTCCGATTTTCTTCCCTTGGCCCATGACCGATCAGCAAACCAAGAAGGGATACGAGGTGCGAGACGACGATATTCATAGATTGCCCCATTCACGTGGTGGGATTTTGTCATATCATTGTAGGGTTCTCCACAGTATCTCCAGATCCGAGACGTTGATTCAAGGGGAAATACGAGGATGTGGCTTGATGAGGTGGCGATCATCCGTGAGGCGTAAAGCCTATTGTAACAATGGCCTGTTCGTTCATCGAATCATTCGCATAGCTGGATGCACAGAGAATTCTGCTGACTCGTGCATTTATTGTACCAATGCTTGGCGCTAGTTGGGGTCCAAAAATGGCTCATTCTCATTGATGCATTATCGCTCGTTGAGGATGCCTAAAGGAGTCAGCATGAGACGATAGATGTCATGTAGACACTGTCTTGACGATCGTCTCGTACTTGAGGAACAGGAAGGCTGCCGTCACCGTGATGTCCTGGTGAATTTGTTGTTGTGAGGCATTCTAAGGCACGAGACTGTTGCCTCCTCGGTGCACTGGGTGACTTGGCCCACAATCAGTTTGACAGTCGTCTCCAGCGTCGAAATTCTCTTTATCGTATCTTATAGATCAGCTTAGCGTACGGAGGGTAGGGTAGATTCCTGCAATCCTTGAAGAACATCTTTGTATTAAGTAATCCCTAACTAAAGACAAAACTACAAGACATCCTCTCTGACTTCCTCGCTCGCAAGATCAACCTTTGTCTGCGGAAACTTTCTCGCAGAAACCTTGTTCTTGAACAAGATATCCACCTCTGCAAATGTCCGGTTCTTCGTCTCCGGGACCCGGAAGTACGCCCAGACAAGACCGAGCCCCATGATCCCACCAAAGAAAAACCCGCACTTGGCTCCCCAGTCCCATGCCGCCTGCTGCATCATACGCGGCGCCAGCTGGCCGTATATCAAGACAGCGACGTTATAAACCGCTCGCGCGAGACCGACGCTCTTTGTCCGCAGAGCGTTCGACGGGATTTCGGTGACGATAGTGTAGATGATGGGACCAATAGTAATGAAAAAGACGAAGTACTCGATCAGCAAGATGGTACCGATCCCGTATCCGATCTTGGGATGCGCCTTGCGGCTGACTATCCCCAGGAAGCCGATAAGGATAGTTGTCGCCGCCATGAAGAAGGTTCCAGACAGGAGTAGCGTGCGGCGTCCCACGCGCGGGACCAGACACCACGCAACACAAACCCCTACGATGGCTAGTGCATACTCGCCGATACCAAAGTCGAAAGATGAGGAAGCAGGCAGGCCGGACTGTTCAAGAAAATAGACAATGTACGCCACCAGCGGGGCGCAGAGTTCCTGGATGAGGTAGGTGAAGACGGTGATTTCCGTGCGGCGGCGATCGACCCCCTTGAACATATCCCAGTAGGAGCTGGACGCGTTCATCTCATCCTCGATCTTGACCGTGTGCAGCATCATGGCTAGCGTGTCGGCTATTTCCTCTTCGCTTGCGTCCTTGGTACGCAGCCGGCGGAGTGACTTGGTAGCGTCCTCGGTGCGGCCCTTGCGGATCAGCCACCATGGCGATTCTGGGGCGAGGTAGATGCCGATGGCAAGGGGGATGGGTAGAGCCCACTGCAGCGCAAAGGGTATCCGGTACGCCCATTCGCCAGACATGCTCAGGAACCCACGCAGGACACAAGTCCCCGTAAGGTAACCGATACTCCAGGCCAGCGAGACCAGCATGGTCAGGTAGGGACGCAGCACGTTAGGGCATACCTCGGCTGCGTAGGTGGTGGTGATGGTCTGAAAGACACCCCAGGGCAGACCCAGGAGGACTTCGGCGCCGATGTACATGTAGATGTCGGTTGCAAAGAATTGCAAGAAAATAAAACACGCCATGAGGAAGAGCGAGCCCATCATCAGCCAGCGGTAGCCGAACCAATCGCACAGCAGACCATTAAGCAGGAGACCGACAATCTCTCCAGCATTGACTCCATTGCTAACGGCGGCTTGGAGGTTTGCTGGGACCTGGTAGGAGCCGTTTTTGGTGAGCACGCCGTATCTCCTCTGAAAGGCCGGGAAAGCCATAAAGCCGCTGACGAAGGAATGGTCGAAGCCTTCCATGATGAGCGCAGAGGAGAACCAGATGGACCAGAAGACCGCCTTGGGGTACTTGCGCAGACCCTCCATCAGGCCCATGGCGTGCTCATCGTCGGCGGCTTTTTGCGCGCCCTTGATAACGTCTTCGGCTACGACATAGTGTTCCTCGTCTTTCTCCCGGATCACCGTAACGGTGGTGGGATCTGTCACGTCTTCTTGGTGGGCAGCCATTTTGTACGCGCGAAAATGTCAATCAAGCATGATCTTTGTCCACGAAGCCAAGGGAGACCTATCTTTATAAGCCTCGCCAAGTAGAAGCTTGTGGCCCTTCTCGTGCCCATTCCTTGTGGCTTTCGCCCCTTCTCTGTGGTGGAAAATCCGGGGTAGTGGAGCCACTCGCTGATAGACTTTGCGGGGAAACGCCCTTCGGCACAGTAAACACCGAAAAGAATAAGCCACAAACCTAATATGGCATCATCCCATATGAACGAGAGGGACCGCGGAGACTTGTTCCTTTCCTCGGGAGGAGATAGGCCGATCGGGAAGACTACAAGTGAGTGGCGCACCTATTTGTCTCGCCCAGATGACCACCACATAGTAACGGAGTCAAAAGTATCCATCATCCACCGAAGGTTAATCAACAATGACTGGCAATCTGCGGTGGCTGACTGACTATGGCCATGATTCACTGGGGGCTGGGATCTCCTTTGGTATGCCATGGCCAAAAGGTCTGTATCAGCCTGGTCAGTCTTTTGTTATTGAGGAGAATGGTCGGGAATACGCTATAGATTCGAGAGAAATTGCCTACTGGGCAGACGGGTCGCTCAAATGGACGGCACACTCAGTCAGTGGGCAGGTTGGGTACAGCGAGGAGTACACAGTCAAAGGCTCCTCCAATTCTAAGGACAACGATGCTGGTGTTGTCATCGAGGAAGGCGATAGTATCACAGTCACTACGCGCCTTGGGCTGCAGGTCAAATTTGCACGCTCGGGAAATTCGTCCTTGTTCGAAAGCCTTTCGCTGCATGGCCGCTGTCTGTGTTCTGGCGCCACTCTTGTCGCGTCCATCAATGGCAAAGAGTATTCGGCCATTGTCAGCAAGGTTGGAGTGGAGAATGCTACGAAGTCCAGAGCAGTCATCAAAGTCTCTGGGACGATGGCCTCGCCTGACGCGGAGCACCTCCCATTCGATGTGCGTGTCTATGTATACTCCGACGCGTTACCTATCAAAATTCTGCACTCTTTCGTCCACGATCTGGACGCAGATGAACCTCTGACCTCACTGGGAATTCGTTTCTCAGTCCCTTTGGAGAATACGGAGCTTTATAACCGGCACGTTCGTTTCGCAGGTTCCAATGGAGGCATCCTCAAGGAAGAAGTCCAAGGACTGTCTGGATTACGACACGGCCCAACAGTCACCAACAGGATTGATCAAACAGCAGGACGAGCCGTCACTCTCAAGCAAGAAAAGTGGTCCAGAACTGATCTCCAACAAGGTCTCTCATACATTCCGTCATTTGACTCCTACACTCTCTCACAGCTGTCCTCCGACGGCTTCACCATCAAGAAACGAACAAAAAAGGGCTGCTCCTGGGTCAAGGTAACCGGCGGTGGTCGCGCAGACGGAACCGTGTATCTAGGCTCCGCCAGACACGGCGGCATGGCTGTTGGCATGTCCGACTTCTGGGAACGGTACCCGACTCAGCTTGACCTGAGCGAGCTCACTCAGCGCGAGGGTGCGATCACCGTGTGGGTGTATTCTCCCCTTGCAGAACCGCTCGATACTTCCCCATACCATGATGGACTCGGGCTGGACTCGTACGAGAAACAGCTGCATGCACTCGACGTCACATACGAAGACTACGAACCGGGCTTTGCCACTGCCAACGGTATCGGAAGGACGAACCAATTCTTCCTCAGGCCGTACACATCCACCCCTTCCAACCAGGAACTCGGCTCTTTCTCGGCTCTTGTGAGGAACCCTCCCCGTCTAGTCCCAACAGCCGAGTACATGCACTCCACTGGCGTCTTCCACGGGTGCTGGTCACCCGCCCACAAACAGCCCGCGCCACCGCAAGAAACGGCCATCGAGCACAACCTCGAACTTCTATTCAACCACTACCAGAAGCAGATAGAGCAGCACCGCTGGTACGGCTTCTGGGACCACGGCGATGTGCAGCACACGTACGACCCCTACCGGCACGCCTGGCGCTACGACGTAGGCGGCTTCGCATGGGACAACTCGGAGCTCTCGACCGATCTCTGGCTATGGCTGTACTTCCTCCATACCGGGCGCGCGGATGTCTTCAAGATGGCCGAGGCAATGACCCGACACACCAGCGAGGTGGACGTCTACCATGCAGGCCAGTTCAAAGGTTTCGGCACGCGACATGGCGTCCAGCATTTCAGCGATAGTTCGAAGCAGCTACGGATCTCGAACGTGCTCTATAGACGGGTATACTATTACCTGACTGGCGATGAGCGCACAGGCGATCTGATCTCCGAGCTGCGGGATTGTCAATTCACCCTGCTGACTCTGGACTCGCACCGTAAGGTGCAAGCGCACGCCGATGTCCCTGAGGGCTTCGCCATGACGAACATCGGTCTTGACTGTGGCGCACTCGCGGCATCATGGTTGACTGCCTGGGAACGACGGACTGAAGGCTGGAAGCATTGCCGCGATCTCTTGATCAAGTTGCTAGACGGCATCGCTGGCCTCAAACACGGCATCGGCAATAATGCCATCCTACTGAACCCAACCACGGGAGAGATCCGAGAATGCCCCCCGCCAACGCCCGAGTACGCCATCTCCCACCTCTCCATGCTCTTCGGGTTCCCCGAGACAGTTGCGGAGCTTCTTGACTACGCGCGTGATGCGCACCCCGCCACAGTAGACAGGTTTATGGCCGTATGGCTCTCCTATTGCAAAGCGTATAATGGGGACGCTGAAGTCCAGCGTAGAGAATTCGGGTTCGAGTTCCCGGATCATGCAACTTGGCGACAGAGTCATTCTACGCTTACGGCGTTTGCGGCTGTTCAGCTGAAGAGCGAGGAGCTGGCTCGCGCGGCTTGGGACCAGTTCTTCCATACAGACGGGTATACGGAGGATCATGACTGGAAGGTTGTTGAGATTGCGCCGCCGGAGTACTTTACGCATGGAGAGGAGGCTGCTTGGATTACGACGAATGAGGCAGCGAGGTACGGCGTGTCTGCTATTTTCAATCTGGCGAATATCAGGGAGTATTTGTCGTAACCCGCTTTCTTAGATGACCTCAGGTCTTCAAATAATTCATCAGTAAAACTACATCCTCAGGTCAAACAAGCCCAAACTATTCCTCTAAATCCTCCTTCTCTTCCGATTCCTCACCTCCTCCTCATGCCAACCAACTGTACACTCTTTCTCCCCATAGTGCCTCCCACAACACCCATACACAAACCCCTGAGGATGATCATGCCGATTCTCCTCCGTGTCAACCTCCTCATCCCAGAGATCAATATTCTCCCAGTACTTCTCATCCTCTACTGCCTCCTCTGTAGCAACATTAGCATCGCAAACACACAGGAAAATACAATATACATACCAGGATGAAAACGACAACTCTCCCTAGAGTTCTTCGTAACGTCATACTCCACCTCGCAGTTCACACACACCGCGTACCGTGGCCGGACCTTAGCCCCAGCCCCAGCCCTGGCTCTCTTCTTCGACTTGAGCTGAGCGGGTCCGGGCTCGCCTGGGGCTGGTTGAGCTGTGTCTGCGTCTACCTTGGCGTTCGCTTCGCAGTCAGACCCGCAGTTACAGTTAGAGTCAGAGTCAGAGTCACCCTGCCTGGGGACCTGCTCCTCGCTCACGAGAAGGCAATCGGAGACGATTGGGAGAGCAGCTGGGAGAAGCCGGCATACGTCGCGGATGATATGCCGTAGTCGCGACGAGGGAGCGGCGTTGAGGGCTTGGTTGAATTGCTCGAGGAATTCGTCGGGGTTTGTGACGTTGAGAGTGGACATTTTGCGGATTCTGGCAATTTCTATCCTGGGTATGGTTGCGGGTTCTCGTATTGGACAGATGGTTTATGTTTTTGAGACGCGTATATTGGTGTTGTGGTGCGTGAGACGGTCTGGTCTTGGCGCTATTTACCTTACTTGTACGGAGTCCGTGAACTACGCATGGGAGGTCCTACAGGATTGGGTGATTGTGATAGAGATCTACGGTGCGGTAGCGTGGACTGAAGATGATTGCCAACGCGCTCATGACGCGAAGGGCGGAGTATCATTTTTGTAGGCATTATACTAGCTGGGCCCATTCCAGCATGCAGGCATAGTTCTATCTCTTTCCCATACATATGATCCACGTTATTCTTTAGTCTGCCAAACGCCAGAAACAAACATTGAAATAACCAACCCAACATCTAGCTGATGCCTTTTACCGGTATCAGCTCCCCCAGCACAATCTAATGGAGGGGGATTTTAATCTCTCTGTGGCTCAGATCGTGGCGATCCTTGAACACCTCGGTGATCTCCTCAAGGCAGCCGGCAGAGGCAGCGAAGAAGCCCAGGAAGGTCTTGCTGGGAGCCAGGACTCGGCTGAGATACTCGGGGTGGAATTGCACACCGACGAACCACCTGTGGTCCTTGAGTTCGACAATCTCCATACGCTTGCCGCTGTCGTCCTTGCCGACAAAGGTCAGACCAGCCTGTTCGAGCTGGTCGACGAGGTCGGGGTTAACCTCGTAACGGTGACGGTGTCTCTCCCAGATCTCCTGCTTGTCTCCGTACAGCTTCCGCAGACGGGACCACTCGGTGCCGGGCTGGAAGTGGGTGGCCCGCTTGCCGAGTCGCATGGTGCCTCCCATCTTGGTCTTGTCGATCTCAGGCATGTAGACGATCGCAGAAGGCTCGCAGTTCTCATGGAACTCCTCACTACCAGCCCCAGTCAACCCGCACACATTGCGAGCGTACTCAATCACGGCCACTTGCATACCCAGGCAAACACCCAGGTAGGGAACATTGTTCGTACGGGCCCATTGGGCACTCTTGATCATACCCTCGGTACCACGCTCGCCGAAACCGCCCTGAACATAACATTAGAGTCATTCGTAAAGTGTATACGGAGAAAACTTACAGGAACAAGAATTCCGTTGGCGGTTGAAACCGAGTGCCACGCCTTGTAGTACTCGGCCGGGTTTGTGTCCTTGTGCTCGTCCTCCAGGTGAGAGGACTCGACCCAGATCAGATCGAGCTTCTTCTTGCAATGCATGGCAGAGTGCTCGAGCGCCTTGCTCACGCTCATATAAGAATCATGCAAAGTGGTGTACTTGCCGACAAGGGCGATAGAGACAGTCTCAAAGACACGGTCCTGGCTAATGGCAAGACCTTGCCATTCCTGCCAGATCACCTTGCCATGCTCGATGAGCTTGGGATCCTTCGGAACCGAGTCAATGTGCAACAGCTCTTTGATGGTGTTGAGGAAGCCCTGCTTCTCTAGGAGAATTGGCACCTGATAAGTGGTCGACACGTTGTGAACTCCGACAACCTGATCCCGCTCCACCTGGCAGGCATTGGCGATTTTCTGGATAGTTGCCTCTTCAAGAGGGGTTTCGCAGCGGCAGGCGATCAGATCCGGCCTGAGACCAGCACTGCGAACATCGCTGATGGCTCTCTGAGTAGGCTTGGTCTTTTGCTCCGAGCCGATCAGAGGGACGTAGCTGACGTGAATCTCCAAGAAGTTGTTCCTGCCGGCCCGTCGTTGGAGCTGGCTCATAGCCTCAACAAAAGGTGCACTTTCAATGTCTCCAACAGTACCACCCAACTCGATGATGCAAACGTCGGGTTCCCGCCCGGACTCATCCACGGGAACCCTGGCAACCCGTTCTACCCAGTTTTGAATCTCATTGGTGAGGTGCGGCACGATCTGAACTGTCTTTCCCAGATAGTCGCCGCGACGCTCCTTCTCGATGACGTGTTGGTAGATCTTTCCAGTGGTAATGTTGTTATCCCGGCCGAGAGTGACTCCGAGGTAGCGCTCGTAGTTTCCGAGGTCGAGGTCGGCCTCACCTCCGTCGTCGAGAACGAAACATTCTCCGTGTCTTTGATGCGTCAACGTCAATTCCAAAGAGATCAGGTGAGCATAGTAGGTGAGACCAACTCTAGAGGGTTCATAAGACCGGCATCCGGATTGAGGTATGGATCAATCTTGATACTCGAGACGGCAAGACCGGCAGTCTTGAGCAGCAACCCGCAACTGCTTGCGATGATGCCTTTACCGACACCAGAAATGACACCTGCCAAGAATCAGAGAAAGCGTCATAGGAAAAAGACACGGAAAGATAATTACCTCCAGAGACCAGAACGTACTTCATCTTGGCTAATTGAGATCAGACAGTGTTATTTCAATGGTAGCCCTCCTGGTAAAGACCAGGGAAGGGGGGGAAGAGAAAAAGAGAGGAAGAAAGGTTACGGCGGGTCCACTGCAGTCTATGAAAAAAAAAAAAAAGTGGATATATCACGTGCTCCGATCTCAGCAACTTATCTTATCGCCAATAATCTGGGGAACTCAACAGGCAACCATCGACGATCTTGCAGGCAACAGGACGAATATGACTCATGATAGAACACTAAAATTCCAGAGAGGGTAAGGTCAAGTGTTCTGCAATACTCTATCGGAATATGGCCTTATTCAAAGCGGATTGTGACTTATACGTCACGTGGCGAAGCTCTCTCTGGATACAAGTAGGCAAGATCTCATGCTTTGATATTGAATACACTTGCATTCTAGGAATGATATGACCTTCTTTCAAGTCTATCTGCTTTTGGTACATGTGCAATGTAATCTGGTTCCTGTATGAACAAAAGAGAAGAAAAATTATGCGTGATCTTCGCCCGGCCAAACCAAATCAAACCCACGTGAAACAAGAAAGACAGTTTGTGAAAATACAGAAACATAATATATTTTCAAGTCAACGCAGGAGACAAAAGAGAGCCAAATGTTCGCTATGAAAACAAGACAATGCAAATCATTGCGTCGACGGCTGAAGGAATTTGGGCCATTTATCGGCCTGAGGGATATAGACGCGACCAATGTTCTCGTCGAGGTCGAGCAACAGCTTCAGAGCGTTTCTTGACCTCAGATAAGGGAGAGGCGCTTTGGCACCCTGTAACCCAACGCCGGGCTCAACATGCCCCGAAGGAGTGACCTCAACTTCAGTGCCGGGCATGGGAAGCCATTTCTGGAGGAGTTCATAGGCAGCCAGGGTGAAACCGAACTGCGGTGACGAACGAACGATACGAGCAGGACCACCCTTGAAGAAGGCCTTGAAACCTTCGTCCCTCCAGATCGTGGCCGCACAATGGCGCAAGCCATTGTAACGAACGTCTCCTTTGCGAGCTTCGACTTGCAGACGGGTCTTGATCACATCGCAGGGTGTGGTAAGATAAGCGGCCGGCATACCGGCAATGGCACCGGCAGTGAGCAGCTGCACAATGCCAAGTCTGTGGGTTTTAGACTCGCCGAAAACGTCGCTCTTCAGATGGGCATAGGTCGGGAAGTAGATGGCAGAGAAGGGAACTAGAGTCCAAAAACGTCAGAAAGCATATTCACAAAAGTAGAAGGAGCGCGTCGGTTCGTTCTTACCATCACGGAGCAAGCAAGCGCTGGCACCCTTGTACAATCCCATCAGGCCCAGATTCTTCACAATCCACATGGCCGAGCGACGGGGAGCTCCCTCGACAGTCTTGGCAATCTCACCCTGAACCTGCAGGCGGATCTTGACAATCTCGAGGGGATTTGTGAAGATCTAATAAAGAGCGAATTAGAACAAGCTTCCAAAGTAGGCGGAAATCTCAGTAAAACTTACAACTTGGCAACCACCAGCAGTACCACCGGCGAGAATCTCATAGGGATACCAGATCTTGCCGTTTTCCTTGTTKGTGAAGTGGCCACGGACGAGATCGTTCACGGTCAGCTTGATGGCCTTTTCCGGAGCAACACCGATCAATTGAGGCAGGACACCGGAATACAGGCCTAGGAAGCCCTCATTACGAATGACTTTTCTGAAACAATCAAGCGAGTTGTTGTACAGTCTTTCGCCAACACGCGTCGAACGTTGGTTCTGCATGCGTGTCTTGACGAGATCGATGGGGTAAACCATAAAGGCGCCGAAAGCGCCTGCAATACTGCCAAGCGCGAAATGGTGGACCGATTCCAAAACGCTGTGCAACACCGACCGAGTCTTTTCAGCTGCGATCTGAGCAGTTGTTGTCGCAGTGGAGACGGCCTGTCCAGCCAGAGCCAAAGGCATACGCCAGGAGGCATCAACGACCTTGGCGAAATCCTTCTGAGAGAGTCGGCCGGAAGGCGCATCGAGGCCAGCAAAATGGAATAGGATATCCGCTTCCATTGGTGTGAACAGCGAGAATCGCGTAATGCGAGCAGCTTCGTTGAGGAAGTCGGCGCGCGTGATCTTGCCGTCGTCGCTCTTCTGGGTGGCTTCGCGGACAATAACGTCGATCATATCCATTTCACGCATGATATTCTGGAAAGCACGAACGGTAGCGTACGAGATCTTGGTGCCCGCTGAGATGTTGCACAGACTGGGAAGGTTTTCCAGGACATAGTCTGACAGCTTGTGTTTCGAGGTCTCGAGGATGATACGCTGGAAATCTTCGGGCTCGATGTAACCGTCACCATCCTTGTCGAAGATGTGGAAAGCTTGCCGAATGCGCTCGCCCTGCAATCCTCGGAGCATCTGGGCGAACTGGGGGTAAGTCATGTCGTGCCGGGCCTTGCTCCGTCCGGAGTAGAGGGAAGCCCATTCCGAATTCCAATCGAAAGGTATACTGTCACTGCTCTTGTTCATATTGTACAGGTTCTTGAATGTGTCCCACTTCACTGTGCCTGTTCCATCCAGGTCGAAGAGTCGAAAAGCGATCTCATATTCGGCGTCGGGTTTGGTCAGGAGGTTTTCGAAGGTCGCCCAGTCACTGAGGCTGAGTTTACCGGCTCTTCGCTTGTCGGCGACCCTGAAGAGGAGTCCATAGTGTTCGCGCTTGATTTTGTGCTATCAATTGCAAAACGCAAGGATGTTAGTCATATTTTGGAGTTCAATCGCGGATGACCAGCGCGATGACACATCGCATAATAGGCAAAGAATCAGAGGGAAAACAGGCCGCGAAACTCACATAATCCTCATGCTTTGGCGCAATAGCATTGATAAAGTCATCCTCAGTCATATAAAACTCGCCAGTACTCTCATCTTTCCGTGCATGATGGAAGAAATGATGCTTCACCTGTTGCGACAGCCGGGGCTCTTCTGAGCTGCCGAGCAACGACTCCTTGACGGCTTCTTTGACGTTCATTGTATCATGCAAATATCACACAGAGATCACTGAGCCAATGCAACCAATTCGCTCGACGATCCAAAATCCAAGAAGAAGCGAAAGGGAAGGGAGGTCTGAGAGACTCCAATGTGGGTAAGAACGGGGTTATGAAGGGGTTGGGACCAGACAAATTGTGTGGAGAAACAGAATTACTAGGACAAAGAGGGAGAAGAGAAGGGCAAAAAAAATGGGGAGCCAGATGACAACAGATTGATCCGCCACTTATGCAGTTGAAATAATAAATTATACAATGCAGATCCGAAGTGGTTCTAAATTCTTCTATCTTGTCTACGAAGAGATCTTCTTTTTTCTATCTTGGCTTTCTCTCATAAGCCGGCTAAAAAGTTTTCCTTGGAGGATATGAGTGATTATGTGCCTTGAGAATGAGGCGCGAATAGGAAAAAGCAAAAGAAAAAAATAGAAAAAAAGGAACAAGCGCTTCACCGCCTCTGGAACGGGTAAATTACCCGGTGAGTGGTCGGACTTGGGACCGAATACTTTATTGCCTCAGGCCACGAAGCCAGTCGCTTCTCCGCAGTATGATCGTTGACCAACTCCCGTCTGCTTGGAATGTCTAGAGTGTTCTTTTATCTTCTACAGCATGTCACACAGATCTATATCGGACCTTTTATAGCAGCAAGGCATGTCTTCATCCTAAGCAGCCATTCGCATGCCACAAGGCAGGGGCAGAAATACTCCTGATGGGAAACCACGGTAAACTCCGGAACGCACGATATCCACTGATTCGATAACCACCCTAGAGAAAAACCCGCCAGAAGATCTCGCAGGCCGAGGGTGTAGCAATAACCGTGACTATACTTAGGCCTGTATATATGATCATTTGAATTATAGGGAAATATGCAAAGAATTATGATGTCTCGTAGACTACCTTACGGAGTAAAAACCATTCCAAGAGTCAGGTTATCCCTTGTATCTTCTACCTGGTTTCTGGAAGAAAAGCACGGGGTCGGAGGTCTATCACATGACACACTTGTCAGAGTGGCACATTTGATATTCCTGCCCACAAACTCGGCCCGATGTGGGAGTCGCGTTCTTGGTCTCGTCTGTCGTCTCCGTCTTCGGTGCGGAGTAAGTTAGCGCAGCGGGTCCAGAATTGGAGAACTTCCAATTCCAGCTCATTACTGACTCTGGCTGTACAAAGAAGATACAATACGTCGTCTGATTGCTGAAAAGCACTTCGTACGAGCTGCGGAGTACGAAGCAAAAGCAAATGCATTGTACATTTTATGTACCGACAATTTCTTAAACGAATAAGTGTTCGACAAGTCATCCAACCCCTGCTTCCGGTAGGTGGTCACCAAGGTGTAGGACTATGCCCGCGGGATTTACCCCAATGCAGCTCACCGGCAGGGAGCGCTCAGTCGATTCGGTGCATGAGGTTTGCTAGGATCAATGATGTGTAGTGCATTAAAAGACAGGGTGATTCATTAGTTTGCATTAGCTTATCGATAACGTTGTACTATCAACACCTTATTCAACTGTCTGCTGGAGTTCAGATCCTGCAGATTCTGCGAGTAAGTGTACACAGGCATCCTTGGTCTGGATATTGGGCCAAGTAGCTACTTTGATTGTAACTCTGTATGACTGATTATACCTGAAACGTCCCATGTCATTGTCGATGGTGTCAGCTGGGTCCTTCAGTATGTATGTCCAATATATATTCTACCTTCCTGAATTTCCAAACTGAAGGTCAGACTATGGACTTTTGAGGCTTTAGTTTGACATTCTTTCAGGGGGCGGCGTATGCCTCTGGACTGAGCTCATAATAATGTTGCCTAAGATATAAAGAAAGAATATAATCGACTGGCTCTGAATCACTATTGCTCCGGTTTCTCAATGCGAAGCAACTTGAACAGTACCCGCTCCACCGGCAGCAAAATCAACATGGCATGATTGAATCTATATGCCGTCAAGGCCACCCAGACACCGACGAGGGCATCCAAAAGGAAATGGTTAGCCGTTGCGATAATTGTCACGCCCATCATCAGGGGCCAGAGAGGCGCAAGCACGCGAATGATCCCGTGCGGGCTGTATCGCAACAAGCATAGAGCAACGAAAACAGAGTTACCAAAGTGCAGCGAAGGCATTGCCGCAATTGTGAGCTGGAACTTGTTTTGTGTCCAAGGGGATCCGGCACTGTTGTCATGCAGCATATCGACGAAGCCGTACTCCTCCGGCAGTAGTCGCGGCGGAGTACATCGCCAAAGCGTGAGGGTCGTAAACGCTATCACATTTTCGAGAGCCAGAGTGCGGCGGACTCCTTGGTACTTTTCCCTTGGGAAAGAGGTATATCCATAGACGAGGAAGATGACGCCTAATACAATGTGCGAGTAGTATACTCGAGCGAGAACAGCCGTTAGCCACGGCGCGCGATTGAGGACGAACCGTTGAACTCGTAGCTCGACGTCTAAATGGAAGAAATGTTCTAGACTGAGGATCTGATGTGCATGGTGCCTGGCCCTCTCAAAAACGGGTTCGTTGTCGCTGATCGCTCGGGCAGAGATCGCGCGCAATCCTTGGTAGACCTGGGCTACTGTCAGATCGTTCTCATCTCACAGGTCATGGAAGAGAACGAACGATGCCGTACCCAATATGTAAGTAACCAATACCATATCTCTATAAGAAACGGAAAACGGGCGAGAATTCGTGTTTGGACGTTGTTGCGACCCTTGGATGACCTCTTTGGTTTTAAGTCCTCGCAGTCTTCGTCCTCAAGCACCGGTGTTTCAGCGCAAGGCGTCTCTGAGAACTTGGTATCTTTGCGACGATTGATTAGGGTGCCAGCGGTAAAAATAACCACAATCGCTGTGGTCAGAAATAGTCAGTCAATCCTGTCTGCCGTGATTGTCGGAGGTCGTAACGGTCTATTTACCAGCGGGCTCAAGAAGAATTCCCAATGCGCCCATGATGATGCAGTCAACTGTGACCACGGTGGCTCATTCAAGGATCATTAAGAGTGATCAATCCTAGTAAGTATTTAAGTTGTAGATCCGTCGGCTCAGTGCGGATCGGGCAGTCTTGCACACGACAGTTTTGTGCTACCAATTGACGTCACGTCCTGACCCGCTGCAAACAATGAAATGAGAAAACCAACGATAAGGCTGGACGGCTGGACAAGCATTAGGTAAAACTTTGTTCTGAACAGAATATAGGGCATAAATGAATGTGACGGCTGGCCTGAGCTCAAGAGGCCGGGTACTCAGCTGCTGTTGATATGGACGTCTTCCACCATCCGCATTAAGCAAGAGCCTACCTTTCTACAATAATGCACCTTCAACTTTGTGTAATACGTGAGAATGTTTACTAATTGCCCAAGGGGTGACTTGTACGTCTCAAACCCGAAGTCCTCTTAACATCGTCGTCGGACATCTACATCTTAGCCATCTTGTCAGCATGCTCAGGATCTCTCACCGGTTCCAGTGGCAGATTTGGTCCACTATCTGGTCCTTGATATTATCCTTCTCTAGGCGCGTCAGCTCAGTCCTACCCCTGCGCACCCAGCCAGTTGCAGCAGCTCCTGTTGAGGTGAGGCATATTCTGAATCCACCCCTTCAGCGGAGCTTCTACTGAGAAATTGAACAGAAAGTGTTGTCCCTAGATCTCGAGGAAAATGATTATCTCTATCGAATAAGGAGAAATTCACGGATCGTATATGTTTCTGTCCTTGATGGGGATATCATTCCCCGTGATTGCAGGACAGACGGAGACAGAGTTCTTCCAAAGTTGCGAGAAATTCCGAAGTGGGAGGAGGAATGGAAGACACTCACTGTCCGGAGGGGCTTCCACGGTATTGACAGCACTGCAGACGAATTTATGCCTCATGGGCTAGACCTCAGACATTTTAATGTTCCTGGTGCTGTCTTTCTCAACCTTTTAGACCTCGCAACGGTCTCTCGGATCAGCGATCGTATCTCTCGAGTAAAGTATGACGGTGAAACGTGGATACTAAAGGTCGCACGATTCAGACATGAAATTCCGGCCCTGCAACAAGAGGTTTCGATATATTCTACTCTAACATCAACCGGTTTTCCTCTCGCTCCGAAATTTATTGGCTTCGTCTATGAGGAAACAGAAGCTCGAATTGTTGGCTTTCTACTGGAGGAAATTTTTGGGGAAACCCCAGACATACATAATCTCAAAGATTGCGTGGAAACTGTTCGTCTGCTGCATGCATTTGGAATTGTGCATGGGGACCTCAATAAATACAACTTCCTATTGACGGAACAAGGTGCGAAAATCTTTGATTTTGAGGCTTCCGCTGCTCAGGGAGACGTGGACCCAGCAGCAGCTGAGGAGGAACTAAAAGCTCTTGAAAGCAAGTTGGCAGATGAATCAGGCATTGGCAAACGTTAAGTCACTGGCCTGAGTACTTATTGAGGCGCCCTTATGTGTAAGAGACAACCCACTTGTCTGCCTCCCTAGCCTCTCAGGCGCTGTGCAGGCACGCCCTGCATCTAGGATTGCTATACCAGTCTTGCGCAGTACGCAGCACATGTGTGCAACCAATTGGCTATAACGAGACATAACCTCCAGACCCGCTGCAAAAAGGAGGAGATACATGCATACAAGGCAAGGCTGGATGTTTCTACAGAAATTCAGCACTAGCTAAGATATTGCTCTGGACAGAATGCAAGGAACTAGGACCATAAATCAAATTGATACAAGTCTGAGCTCAGAGGCTGCTACTTTGCTGCTATTGATATGGATGTCTTCCTCTATCTGCATTAAGAATTACCTATAATGCACCTTTGACCTTGGTGATAATGGGACAATGATCCATGTGCTGCACATTCTTCACTTACCTACAAAGGCACTCATATCACGAGCTTTCCAACGACTGCCTCTTCTGCTCAGTAGTAAGTAGGAGCGGTCAACCCAGAAGATGGATGGAAGCGAAAAGTCGACCAATGGACGGAGTAAGAATATTGGTTGGTCAATTGGTCATTCTTCTTTTTCTAAGATTGTGATTGCTGTCTCTCTTACTTTCATGAGATGGGTCAAACAAGAACCATGGACTCCTATCAAGTACTTTCTTGTCCTTCGTGCCTTTCTCCTTGGGCATGCAGGATACTGCCAAATCTACGATGCGTTCAGATTAGACATTATTTGTACGATTTGTTCCGTGAAGGGTACTTGGGATGGCTCCGAAGAAACCCATGATTGCCAATCCAGTCGTACATTCTTCAAACCTACCGAGATGTCGGCCACCCGGGTTGAGCTCACAACTCTAGGTTCACACTGCAGTATGATTGTGCTGGAGATCTGAGGGTGATGAGCACAGAGGGAAGTCTCTGAGTGAAGAGAACATCATGGCTGCAGACAGATTGTGACTGTGGTGCAGGACCTCCCGATTTCTGCGATCATTGGTAACTTTACCATCAGACTTTCCAATAGCCTTCCAGTAGCCCAAAAGGTGTATCCCAGCGACGACCAATAGATTGGCTAGGTAGTATGTCGAGCCTGACGAAGGATGATCCAACCGAGTCAGGTCAGTGATCATCATGACCGAGAGGAGCATTCTGAGAATACCCTAGCTGCTATTCTGCTGGGGGGAGGAGCTTGTACTGTCGAGTCCCTGGAGATAAGTGTCATGTCTCATGGTTGGCCAAACAACAACATGGTCATTCCTTGACTCAATTTCTGCAGAGATCTGAATCAACATCACTAAGCAAGGGTTGATCAAGCATTTGGCTTTACTCGTACCTGGAATCTCGCTCTATACTTACCTCTGCCGGAGTGCTGAGCTGGGGTCGATGGGATAGACCTCCCATTCGTTAATGTAAAAACCTTCAGAGCACTTCCAGCGCCGCGATCAGCCCATGATTCGTTACTTACAATGCCACTAATCCCAACTCAAGTGTGATGGGTTTTTGGTGTGCGTTGGCTGCAGGTGTCTGGCGCTTAGGACGATGAGGTGGTGGTGATCATTGGCTGCCGGCAGTCAACATCCCAACCCCCTCGACAACTTTTTCGCTCTTCTCTTTTCCCCTCTTTTCTTCTCTGTCCCAATCTCATGTTATTGCTGGGCACTGGGCGACTATATAGCCGCGCAGTACCCCTGGGTTGCTGCGAATATCTCTCTTCCTCAGACACTTTCCGTCTCAGTTTGTCCTTTTTGTCCTTTCTGTTCTATTTTCGTCCCAGACGGGGTTTGTTTGGCTGGTCCAAACATTATTTWYTWWMTKWTRCSKTCT